AACAAATTTGGAGGGCCACAGCAGGTCTGACTTAGCCAGCACCAGTTAGGGAAAATTTAATGATCTTGCTTTTGTCCACCACAGAAAGATTCTATAAAACAAAGATCTGTGTGTCACCAACAGGTGATGAGGAGAATTATGAAAAGTAGAATGAGCCAGAAGTACTATTAGAATTACAGAGAGACATGGGATATGCTTTTAGAAGGACGTTTAATTCCCTTTTCCCACCTTGCCTATTGTATCTCTCACACCTATTTCCTTTTTCTTCCCAAGAAATAATAATAAAAAAAAAAGAAAGTTATTTTAATATAAAATGCAATTGCTTCCAGGTCTTTTCCCTCCTTAACAAAAAGGTTGGCTGTAATACTGCAGTGCACTAGGGACCACTCTGGGAGCAGTGGCTGTCCCAGATCTTTCACACTGTCTGCCTATAAGCAGTTCAGGACAATGAAATGCGGGTAGTCTTTTTAAAACAAACTTGAATTAAATAAGAATGGCAGGCAGTTATCAGGTTACATATAAGGAAGAGAACTTCCCATAAAACTTTAAGAATAGGGAAACAAATCTTGAACATTTACTATTGCTTTTAAGTATATGTACGATGAGAGAGAGAAACTGGAAAAAGTTAGATACAGCATATCCCACAGGTATACCTGTTCAGAGCCTGCAGACACTCGAGTGGTATTTCAACCATATCTATGTTTCTTTCCTGAAAATAATGTTTCACAGAAGTGGTGCAAAGCACTTGCTTTTAGAGCAACAGCCAGAGCAGAAATGTCCCAGAGTGTGTAACACAGGCCAGGAGCATATGGTCAGATGCTCACTGTCAGACCCATTAATGGAGTTAAGTGGAAGGAAACACACACCACTTCACAGTTAACGTGAGCAATGGCTGTTTCGCAGTCAGATCTGTCTGCTTTTCAGGTAGGTTTTTTTGCTCAGTATATTTTGGAGGAAGTGTGGGAGGAGGGGGAGATGCTGCTGCTGCATGTTCAATGCAAAGTGCCTGACTGTGATAGGCTGAGGGGACGTGGATACTCTGCCTGTATTTGCTGGCAACTGCATCCTCTGCGCTTTATAGCTGTCACAGAGGAGCAAAGAAAGACAGTGAGAAAGACAGAGGAGAAGAAAAAACCTTACCAACTCGCTGTAAGTAAAATTATTGACCTTAAAGCTTTGTAGTTTTTTAATTCAAGTGAGAGCGTTTGGATTAATGCAACAATTGGTTTCTTGAGTGGAAGCTTGGCTAATAAACAGCCAGCCTGTATTATTTTAGGGATAATCCAGGGTACTCAAAAAGCATTTCTTTTTAACCTAAGTTTGAACAATATAGTGTGCACCTGTCATTTTGTGTTTGCTTGCTTTTATGTATGTATACCAGCTACAACTGTTTATGTACATTTATGCAGAATCCTACATATCCAAAAGTTTATGTCTTGACTCTTCAAGTGCAACAGTTCTGAACAACCAAGCAATGCTTGAGAAATTCTCTGCCAAATATTCTGAATAATAAGATCTTCAAGATAAATTCAGTGCAGGACTTTTTAGGGTAAGGTTTTCCTCAGAAATAACCCCTTCCCATCACTATAATAAGATCTCAGGAGGGAAAATTACTAAGTTTGCAGACTCTGAGCCAGTGACAGCAAAGAATAAAATCAGCAACTTCTAAATGGAAAATTAAGTTTTTAAATGAAATGTAGGGCCAGTAGCATGCAAACCTAATTCATAGAATCATAGAATAGTTAGGGTTGGAAAGGACCTTAAGATCACCTAGTTCTGTTTCGTGGCTTGTGCAAAGATACAGAGTACACAAGCACAAAGGTGCTTGTACAGAGTACAGATCCAATTTGTTTTTACTTATGCCAAAATAAAATTCATTCTATAGTCCTTATTCAGGCAATACTATTGCCAGTAGTAAAGTTTAGTTTAACAGTAGCAGCAGCTGCAAAAACCTACAATAGCAAAAGGGTTCAAAAGCAGAAAGTCCTCATGGCTTCAGTGGTGTCACTGTAGCACCGCAATCCTTTAAATTACATTATATTCTGCAACAATTAGTTGGCAGAATAGAAAGTGAGTTGGTCTCATTTACTGGAAAGATATATAGTTGTTACTTTTTTGAGCCAATGCAGCTCTCTGTTTAAGGTGCTATTAGTGGCTCTGTGCATTTTTCCTTCTGGATTTAATAATAGGAGCTGCTAAAAGATTTTATTATGTTATTTTACTCTGATGAGCCAGAGAACAGGCACTCATAAAATCATAATACTGCAAACATACTTATCACCTCCTTCGTTCTTTTTCCTCTTTTTTGTCCTCATAACAAATTTCCTGGTGGCATTTAGATATATTTTACATTTATATTTAGTTAATACCAATAACAGATTCTAAAATGATGGACAATAATTTTTAACAAAAATAGTAAGCTGAATGTTACCTGCATAATGTTACACCTATAAATGTATTTGATACTTAATTGTGTGTAAGCTGGTAATATATATTGTTCAGTTTCAAATAAAATAGAAAATGGTTTGCAGATGAACATTATACTGCATATACAATCTAAAGACTTAACAACAGTTTTTATTAACTTCACTAAAATAAAATGTTGCCATGCTCTAATTTCAGTGCATTAAGGTAGGAGCAGTTTAAACAAAGCATCAGAGGATACGTTATCTGAGAAAAAAATGCAGCAAAATTAAAAAGCAAAGAGTATATATATATGAATAATAATAATAATAATAATTTGAAGAAGATACATAGATATCATATAAGGTTTAACATGATTGCTCTTTGTTTCACCTGAAGTTAAAAGCATAACTCGATCTTCTCCAGTAAAGTAGGACTTTATCTGAAGAAGTATCCAGTGGTGACAATATCTACTGATTCTTGCTGGGAACAGAAGTACTCATACATAGTATATCATAGAATCATAGAATGGTTTGGGTTGGAGGGGACTTCTAAGATCATCTTGTTCCCCACAACCACCATGGGCAGGGACAGCTTCCACTAAACCAGGCTGCTCAAAGCCCCATTCAACTTGGCCTTGAAAACGGTCAGGGATGGAGCATTTACCACTTCTTTCGGCAGCCTATGCCAGTGCCTCACCAGTCCTCACAGTAAAGAGTTTCTTGCTAATATCTAATAAGAATCTACCTGATTTCATTTTAAGGCTATTCCCCATTTTTCTGTCACTACATGCCCTTGTAAAAAGTCCCTCTCCAGCATTCTTATAGGATCCTTTTAGGTACTGGAAGGCTTGGGTTGGTATGTTTGGTAAAATTCATTTTTATCAATTAGAGTGGGGCTGTCAGTGAACTTAAAGAGTGTGCTTACAAAGTGATGGAAGTTGATAATTAGGGTGGGTGCCTCTGAGAAGCTGTTCTCTCCCCAGTTGGGGTTCAGCTGTCAAATGTTGAATATCCTGAAATTCATCCTGGGAAGTGTGGGATCCCTGAGAGTATGGAGTCTTTATCAGTCTTTATGGGCCTTCAAGAAAACAGTCCACTATTAAATACTTTAGAGAGACTCTTGCCTTCACTGAAATTTCCATTTAGTTTCGGAAACTCGGCCTGCGATATTTTTCAGCTTAAATCCCTTCGACTTAAGTGGGTATTTCAAGTACACACAAATTATAACAGCGCTTAAGAAAATGTGATGCTGTCAAACAATGTTTTCATTTTAGACCCTAAAGGCTGAGTTATCTGAGGTATTTTGTTTCTTAGAAAATCACATTCTATATTTTTAGAATATACGAGCAGTGAGGAAGGGTCTGTACACATTGTGTTGTTGCATAGTATGTGTGTTGTATATGCATGTGAGAGTTAGAAGAGAGAAATGTTAGGTACTGCTTAGAGTGGTGATGTAATTTGAATTTTTAGAGGTCCTAACTAGTAAGCATTATAGCTGTCAGATATTCAGTCTAGTGGATGTGTCTTCCATGGCAAGTAATACTTTCAGTCAGATCTATAATGAAGAGCTGAGGAAGAGAATAAAAATAGGGATGAAAGTGTTTTGTCACTCACAAGAGAACAGATATAAAATAGGAGGTGGAATGGAAAAAGTTAAATGACCACTGTGTTCCTGCAAGGAGTTTGCCTTCACAATTCCCAGTAAGATATGTAAGTTACGGTCGGTAAGAAATTTTCGGGTAAGGGCTTTTAGGAAAGATGATGCATAGGTACACAAAGAGAGAGAGAGAGAAAGATGTTTATCTAGATCTTAATTTCTCAGTATTGTCTTCGTGAGAAAGAAGAATGAAATACTTTGCCTCAGAGTGAAGCAGAGTGATATACTTCACTTGATCAAACTGAAGTGAAAGCTCATTAGAGGTTAACTAGACACTAGTTTATATCAGTTTATAACACTGCAGTGACTATGGCAGATTTGTGATGGATAGTTTATCCTCCTATTCTTTATGTTTAAGCTTCCTGATTTAATTACATCTCCCATGCAAAACAGTGGGTTTACCCTGTAATTTAATTCTTCATCCCAAATATTGATAATGCTATTGCAACAATAATTTATGACAGCAGTGCAGCCAAAACAATGTTAGGATAAGACAGTGGACCTCCATTTCTTGGGAAGACCTATAGTTAGCACATGACAAATAAAATCTCACTGATTATCTAAAATGGGTATTTTGACAAACTGGGTTGAAAATTTTCAATGCCATGGTCATAAGCTGAAACCACAGAATGTGTATCTGATGTTTAGAACTAAATTTTATTTGCTTATCTTGATATCCAAAAAAGACATTGTCCAAACTGCTACCAGTAAAAATGAGAATAAATTATCAGCATCCTATATAGGAACAAGATAATTCAAGTATTACTTGAAATAGGAAGAATTTCAGATCCACAAAGATCTTGGTGGTAAAAAAATGGTCACAAGCTGTATAACATTGTGTCTATGTTGTAGTAATATGGTAAAAGTAAATATATTTTTGTCTGTGTGTTTATGAGCTTACACATGATGCTATTTATGCCATTTGATTTATCTTTCAGAAAAAAGACCAAGCGATCCACAGGAGCTTCTGTGTCCTATTGATTTGGAGAAATCTCCAGGAGCTCACCAACAAAGATTTAAGTTGACAAGCAGGTATTCTTTATTGCGGCACTGGGAGACACAGGGGATCACTCCTCCACGCGTGACTCTCCCGCATCAACCAGGCTGTGATCATATTGTCCTTAAACACACATGTTCATTAGATTACATACATTACATCATACTTTTAGACAATGCCTCCTGTATGCACCCAAAAATGTGGTAGTGGGCTTTCGGACCCCTGGTGGTTATTTCTTCATCACTTTGTTTTATGATCATCATCATAACAGTCATATCAGTAACCACCAGGCGGTTCTGGCAAAGCTTATCTGAGTAATTTCCTTTTCTCTGTAGTTGCTAACAAAACCTAATGTTCTTGAGGTTACTTATTCGCAACCCTATTCTCCAATCAACCCCATTCTTCAATCCACCCTATTCTTCAATGAACACCATTCTTCAATCCCCCCTTTTCTTGTTCTATTGCAAATTCTTTTGCAACTGATTTACTTCATTTTTATTTAAAGTTTCCTGAAGTATTTCCCTGTTTCTACTTGATGATTAATTTTGTTTCTCTTCCATTTGCTATAGTTCATCATAGGATGTTTGCAACACCAAAAGGAGCATTGGACTGTTATACTTGTAATCACAACCATTCCTATTATTACAAATACAGTAAAAAAACCCTGTCTCAACCAGGAGAGATTAGGTACCCATGATGTTAATTTTTCCCAAATTTCCCCAAATCCCCACAAAGTGTTGTCCTGCACCACCTCATGAAATACTTAACTTGTTTTCATATCTCCTTTAGATCAGTAGTAATTCTTCCACTTTGATCTATATAGGAACAATAGCTATCATTGATTACAGAACAAACTCCTCCTTGGGATGCTAACAATATATCTAATGCCATTCGGTTTTCGAGCACTACTTTAGACAGGCTGGTTATTTCTTCGTGCAATGCTAGAATAGCATCAGCAGTTCTATTTTCCATTTTCTCAATTGCAGCTGAGATGTTTACAATTGCTTTTTCTAATTCACTAACACCTAGAGATGGAATAAGCCACCTAACAAAGCTGTGGAAAGCGGTGTTTTGTTCTGCTATGATTTTATGATTATATCCTCATTTGATTCTTTTAATAAAACCCTGAACCCAGGTTCCAGAGGTATTAATGTCAATTACTGTAAAGTTTGGAACCACTACTCCTAGTGTGCATGTCTCTTTCCAGTTAGGAGGCAAAGCCTAACATTTAACTTGTGACATATTCAAGGTTTGTATCCTTAAAACCTGTAAATTTGTATGGCTCTTGTCGGTATAAACAGGATCTCTCCACAATCTATCCCAATTTGTCTTAAAGGGTATAGGGAGGCCAATTAGAGGAATACCCAGTCTCTCTCCTTATTTAGGTAGCTGAGTACAGATTCAACAATAACTCTTGTTTAAGACAGTAGTAACATTTTGTATCAATCTCAAAAAGATTTTGATTCCACACTTCTACACCTATTATTATGTAAGTCCAAATTATGATCGATGTAGTCTCATGTGTGTGGGTTCTGAAGACTTGACACGCCATACTTTTTCTTGGTTCTGATGTTTTTCTGGTTCTGGTGCCTTCTTGATTTTTGAGTAATGTATCCAAGCAGGCTGTTCCTTTATTTTCACTGCTGTAAAGGTAGTTAGCAATATCTGGTATGGTCCACTCCAGTTCTGTTCTAGGGGATTATCTTCAAATTTCTTAATAAAAACCCAATCTCCTGTCTTAAAAGGATGAATAGAATCATAGAATAGTTAGGGTTGGAAAGGACCTTAAGATCATCTAGTTCCAACCCACCTGCCATGGGCAGGAATACCTCACACTAAGTATGAGGTAAGCCACACTAAGCCACTCAAGGCTTTGTCCAACCTGGCTTTGAACACTGCCAGGGATGGAGCATTCACAACCTCCCTGGGCAAACTATTCCAGTGCCTCACCACCTTAACAGGAAAGAATTTCCTCCTTATATCCAATCTAAATTTCCCCTGTTTAAGTTTTAACCCATTACTCCTTGTCCTGTAACTACAGTCCCTAATGAAGAGTCCCTCCCTAGCATCCCTATAGAAACATAGAATAGTGAGGGTTGGAAAGGACCTTAAGATCATCGTGTTCCAACCCCCCTGCCATGGGCAGGGACACCTCACTCTAAACCATATCACCCAAGGCCTCGTCCAACCTGGCCTTGAACACCACCAGGGATGGAGCATTCACAGCTTCCCTAGGCAACCCATTCCAGTGCCTCAGCACGCTCACACTGAAGAATTTCCTCCTTATATCCAATCTAAACTTCCCCTTTTTAAGTTCTAACCCATTACCCTTGTCCTGTAACTACAGTCTCTAATGGAGAGTCCATCCCCAGCATCCCTATAGTACCTCTTCAGATACTGGAAGGCAGCTATGAGGTCTCTACACAGCTTTCTCTTCTCCAGGCTGAAGAGCCCCAATTTTCTCAGCCTATCTTCATATGGGAGATGCTCCAGTCCCCTGATCATCCTCGTGGTCCTCCTCCAGACTTGTTCCAACAGTTCCATGTCCTTTTTTCATTTTCCTGTCCTTCCAAGTCTTCAGTTAGTTTTGTATCTTCTTTCGAGTACCTAGGTTTATTTTGCTCAATTACCAGTTTACTGTCAGGAATAAAGGACATCACCTCAACTCTTTCTGTTTCTGCTGCCCATTTAGCCTCATGATCAGCCAAATTATTTCCAGTCCCTTGATCAGTTACCTTTTTGATGTCCTTTACAATGTATGATAGCCACTTCATTAGGTAATTGTTCAGCTTCTAACAATCGTAGAATTTCTGTTGCATGTTTAATTTGTCTTCCGTGGGTATTTAAAAATCCTTGTTCTTTCCAAATTGCTCCATGTGCATGAACTACACCAAAGGTACATTTGGAGTCGGTTCATATGTTTATCCGCTTGTCCTTTGCCAACTTCAAGGCTCTAGCCAGGGCTGTTATTTCTGCCTTTTGTGCTGAGGTGTTAGAGGATAATGGTTTAGCTTCTATTATCTTTAAAGTTGTAGGTATGGTATATCCTGCTCTTCGTTTACCATCTTTAACAAAGCTGCTGTCATTGGTGAACCAGGAATCTGCACTCTCCAGAGGCTCCTTCAGATCTGGTCGGTTCGAATATACTGTCTCTGTAGTGGCCAAGCAGTCGTGAATCAATGGTTCAGTAGGGGTTTCCTGAAGGAAAGATGCTGGATTCACAACATTACTTATCACAATTTCCACATCATCCAGTTCTACTAGGGTGCCTTGATACTTCAAGAAATGTGATGGCGATAGCCAGTGTGTACGTTTTTGTTCTAGGACTGTTGATAGTGCGTGTGACACTAACACAGTGATCTTTTGTCCCAGTGTAGATTTTCAGGCCTCTTGGATGTTTAAGATAACTGCTGCCACTGCTCTCAAGCATCGAGGCCAGTCTTTACTTAGTTCATCTAGTTGTTTTGAAAAATAGGCCACTGCTCTTTCATAAGGTCCCAACCTTTGAGCCCAAACCCCAAAGGTGATTCCCTGTTTCTCACAGGAATATAGCCAAAAGTGTTTAGTTATGTCTGGGAGCCCCAGAGCTGGAGCTCTTATGAGTTCTGTCTTTAAACTTTGAAATGCTTCTTCAGCTTGATCTATCCATTATAGAAAGTTTGGATTTTCTTTTAGCAGCTTATATAAGGGTCTTACCAGAACACCATAATCATGGATCCAGAGCTGACACCATCCTGTCATTCCTGGAAATGTTCTGAGATCTTTAACTGTGGATGGTTGTGGTTTTTGGCAGACTGCTTCCTTCCAAGCTGCTTCATGTTCTTGTTGTCCTCCTGTTATTTCTTATCCTAAATAAGACACTCAAGTTCGAATTAGTTGAGCCTTCAATTTTGATACCCGGTATCCATTTAGCCCTAGAAAGTTTAATGATTGTACAGTCCATTGCACATTCTTTCTCAGTTTCTACAGCAATTAACAGGTCATCAACATATTGTAGTAAAGTGCCTGTCTGGGTGGGTGCTTCCCAGGATTCTAATTCTCATGCTAATTGATTTCCGAAAATGGTTGTATTGTTTTTAAAGCCCTGAGGTAGCACCATCCAAGTGAGCTGTGTCCTTCTCCCTGTTTCAGGGTTTTCCCGTTCGAAAGCAAAGCAATGTTGACTTTCTTTGGCCAGGGGCAGACAGAAAAATGCATCCTTTAAGTCCAGAACGGTAAACCACTTCTGATTATTATTCAGTTTAGTCAATAAGGTACATGGATTAGCCTCTACAGGATGAATATCCTCCACAATTTTGATGATTGCTCTGAGATCTTGAACTAATCTGCAACTTTTCCCATCAGATTTCTTTACTGGCATGATAGGAGTATTACATTCCAATTCACATTCAATTAATAATCCATATTTAAAAAATTTATCAATGATTTCTTTGATTCCCTTCCAATCCTCCAATTTTAAGGGATAGTGTTTTATTCTAACTGGGAGGGCTGCCCTTTTTATTTCTACTTTAATAGGCAAAGCATTTTTTGCCTTACCTGGAATTTCAGATGCCCATACTCCTGGATATACATGGTTAAAGACTTCTTTTGTTTCAGGAAGGTTCTCGTTAATTTTCTGTCGGATTAAAGATAAACTCAGACTTTTAATCAACTGATCATCTTTTACCTTCAATTCCATTTCTCCGTCTTTAAATGTTATTATTGCCTCCAAATGTTCTAATAAGTCTCGTCCCAATGAGGTTTTTGGTGAATTTGGCATATATAAGAATTTATGCATACCAATCTGTTTTCCCAATTTATATTTTAATGGTCCCAGAAAAAGTGCTTTTTACCAATGGCCATTAGCTCCCACAACTGTAACAAATTCTTTTCCAACAGGAGTTAAATTTTGATTTAGTACAAAATAAGTTGCCCCTGTATCTATCAGGAATTCTATCTTCTTTTTTCCTTCCCCTAGCTTTAATTTAACCAGTGGATCCACTAGGGTAGATTCCTCAGGTCCCCGTCAATCTAACTCTAGTTCAGTCACTGGTGTTTCCTGTTGTTTCCACTGAGGACAGTCTCTCTTCCAGTGTTCAGATTCTTTGCATTTTAGACACTGATTAGGTTCTATATTGGGAGAAAAATTTGCTCTTTCCCTTTTACGGAATATTTCTTCTCTGCCTCTAACTGCTATTCCTCTTCCCCTGCTCTCCTCTGCTTCCCCTGCAGGTCCCTGTGTGCCGTAAAGCAGCTATTGTAGCAGTTGTTACCATTCTTCCTAGCTTTTTCTCTTTTATCTGTTCCCAATTTCTATAAACTTTCCCTGCCTCACCTACTAATTTTTCTGTATTTCGACTGCCAGGTCCTGATAATTTCTGAAGTTTTCTTCTAGTATCTTCTGTTGTCTGTCCTAGAAATAAGTTAGCAATTTGTAATTTCCCCTCAGTAGAAGAAGGGTCTAAGGTAGTATACTTTCACATTGCTTCTCTTAATCTGTCTAGGAATTTGCTCAATGTTTCTTTTGGTCCTTGTTTCATTTCAAATAGAACCGACAAATTTACAGCTTTTGGTATCTCATTTTCTAGCCCAAATTTAATCAGATTCTGATATCCCTTTAAAGCAGCATAATCTGCTAGATCATCATAGTCCCAATCTGGTATAGTCAAAGGAACATGTTCTTCCATTCTTCCTGCCAGTTCACCAGTGATTATTTGGGCATTAACCTGAGCACAAGCTGTTTTTATCGCCAGTTGCTTTTCGGTTTCAGTTAATCCATCTAATATTAAGTCTATATCTCTCCAATCAGGATCCTGACTTTTGACAATCAGTTCAAATTGTTTTGCTACCCCTATTGGATCATTTTGATAATTTTTTGCAATCTGTTTCCAAGCATCTAAGTTTCCCATTGAAAAATTTATTCTGGTTTGTCCCTCCGGTCCCACTGCTTCCCTTAAACGTGCATGTATCACAGGTCCCTTTTTATTACGAACACAAACAGCAATCGGGGTACCTTTAAATTCTTTTCTGCTATTATCATTACTGTTCATTCCTTCCTCCTCATCAGAATCAGGAAGACTTGCAGCAGGGGTTATCAGATCTACTGGACCTTGCAGGTTTTGTGTCGCAAATCTCAGAGAGACATAATCTTCTATCCTATCTTCCTCCCTTTTTCTCAATTTCAAACACATTTCACCTATGTCACATCCTGAACAATTTGGGTTTCGGTCTTTTTCTGTCCTTTTCTAAGGCTAGAATCAGAGGAGCAGGTGGCACCCTATTTATGCTACATTCTTTCTGCCACTCTGGATGACTTCTCAATGTGAAAAACATATCTGCATACATTATTTCATCCCATTTTCCTTGCCACCTTAAAAATAACAATAATTGCAACAATGTATTAAAATTTGAAGTCCCATTTTTGGGCCATTTTTCCTGATCCTCTAAGGTATATAATGACCACTATTGGTTACAATATTTAATTAAATTCTTTATTTACTGAGCCACTGAGGGATCCTTCTAATTCTTTCCAAGGAGCCAGAATACATCCCAAAGGGATCTTTTCTATTATTTCTCCACTTTGTCTATTTCCCATTATTTTCTTATGCACACTATTCACACACACACTCATACGGGATCCCAAAAATTCCACTCGCTCACAATTTTGAAAACAAAGACAAAAACATACACCAAGTACACAAATACTAATTAGCACCACAATAAGACAAAAGCAGAAACATATGTCAAGTATATTGATACTAATTAGCAGCACGATAAAAATAAAAACAGTTCTCCATTCATTAATTACTCAAGCACAGCATCAAATACTGGTTTTCAGAAATCGGGTCAGATACCAGAAAAATACAACTGCGTTACCATATCTGATGTCTCCTTTGCCAGTTCAGAATGTATGCTAGCAGCTGGGTATACACCTTTACCTATGAGATTTTCCTATCTCGAGTTACAGAAGGCTTTCTTATTCCTGCGTATGCCTTATGGAATATTAACCACGTTCCTGCGTTGGACATCTCCTACGCCTTATGGAACACTAATTGGCGCTCCTGCATAGGACGTCTCCTATGCTTTACGGAATGCCATAAAATAAAATAATCAAAAGAACATGTTTACAGTGATGGTGATGATCCTTGTCTGCTCCTGCAGTGATCTGAGTGAGTCGAAGGGTTTCTCTGGGGAAATTTGTCCCAGGGGCCCTAGAGAGCCCTGCCCTCAGCAGGTCCTGCTGCCGAGCAGAGAGTGTCCCATCTGGGGTGCCAAATTGATTCGAAAAGATCTCCAGGAACTCACCAAAAAAGTTTTAAGTTGACAAGCAGGTATTATTTATTGTGGCGCCGCGAGTCATGGGGGATCGCTCCGCCAAGCATGTCTCTCCCAGGCATCAAACAAGCTGTGATTATATTGTCCTTAAACAAACATATTCATTAGATTACATACATTACATCATACTTTTAGATAATGCCTCCTGTATGCATACAAAAATGTGGTAGTGGGCTTTTGGACCCCTGGTGATTACTTCTTCATCACTTTGTTTTATGATCATTGTCATATCAGTCATATCAGTAACCACCAGGCGGTTCTGGCAAAGCTTATCTGAGTAATTTCCTTTTCTCTGTAGTTGCTAACAAAACCTAATGTTCTTGAGGTTACTTATTCGCAACCCTATTCTCCAATCAACCCCATTCTTCACCCTATTCTTCAATCAACACCATTCTTCACTATATTTGATTGATACAAAGCAAAGCAAGAGAGTAGTATAGTGATATTCTTGAGATCATACTGAGAGTTCATTGGACCCACAGACACTGAATGAGATATTCAGCTGAACTGATCCACGTGTAAATGTCTGTAGGAACAACTGTAACTCAGTGGTAAGCAACAGTAGTACTAGAAACACCAAACTAGTGGGAGTTCTGAGTCAGTTCAGTCTCTGGCAACTCCCATTAATTTGGCAGCCATGTGCTAAATGCTTATTTTCACAGCTTTCATCTATGAAACCAGAGGGAAAAATAACAGACTACCACATGCAAGTTCTTCAGACCATGCCATAGCAATGAACTGATGAATGAAGTAGCTTAAAAGAAATAATGATAGGATAAGTTAAGTTAGAGATATTTTGAAAAAGAAGTGAAACAGTATGATATTTAGATTTATTCTGGCAAAATATCTAAAGCAAAGAATGGAGCCTTAGGGTGTGATTAGCTTGCTGCCACAGAGATGCATATTGATCACTGCAGTTCATGCTGACTTATTTAGAAAGTTTATTGCAATTTTGAACTGACATCAAAATCAACCACATTCTTCAATCCACCCTATTCTTCAATCAACACCATTCTTCACCAATTAGCTGATATCTAACAAATTGTCTCTTAATTACCTAATATTCACATTGTGCTTAATATAATTATTTTATTAAAAAATCGAAGATCTGAAGGTATGTGAACTAAGTGTAGTAATTGTTTAGAGTAGCAGCGAGTATCCTTGCTTCACTTCCCAATTTTCTTACTAGATCACATGGAACAGTATCACTCACTCAGAGTGTATAAAGACTCTTGGACTTTTTTCAGGCACTGCTGTCTCAAACTTGTATTTACTGAGTACTCAAAATGCACAGACACATACAGTTAAAAATGTTGGGCAGGCCAGGATAGCAGGAGCAGGCACTGTAGCAACACGAATTATGTTTACACAGCACTTTGCAGGCAAACTCCAGCTTGTCTCAGCTGAGCCATCTATCACCTTGGGTGTGCTCACACAGTCTCTGCCTAGCTTAAAGCACCCTTAGAGCTCCTGCACAACATCTTGAAAATAGGGACAGCCCCAAAGAGCTTTCTCACATATTGCAAAATACAGCACAGATCACATCTGAGTGTACTGTAATTGGAACCTTGGTATGAAGTAAGACTTTGTAAATGACACAGCACATTCATTTACAGTGAAAAAGTGAGGAAGCTAAGTCTTGAAGCAAGACAGGAGGTAAGAATTAGATAAAATGACAGGGCAGCAAAATGGATCACTGTGATAACTGTGGTTATTATAGCTTGTTATTACATTAGAGACACACAGCATGCTATTTTCTTAGACCTCTTCTTAATGTGCCACGTAACAGTGCCACATCCTTGTGTCAACCAACAGCAGGAATTAAGTAAGTCTGTGATTCCTGAATCTTCACTGACATGCCTTTACTGCTTTTCTGTGCTAAAGATACAGCCTGTCTGTGTTAAGATAATCTACATTGTGACTTAGGCATCAAAGATTTAACAGTGTGATTTACTTCCATACAGTGTTCAGCTGATACTGGTGTGAAGCAGAATGCAATACTGTATGGGTATTGGCCTAATATGCAGAAATGAGGGCATATGGTCTATTCAGAAAGGCCATATGGGTCATGCTATAAATCTGAATAACAGGTTTAAAGCTGGTAAGATTTTCTTTCAAAAAGTGACTTTTCCTTTTTTTCATTTTTTAGGGTTTTTCCGGTCCTAAACTCTGATATCTATGGATGCTGCAGAGTTCCGCAAGAGAGGGAAGGAGATGGTGGACTATATTGCAGATTACCTGGAGACAATAGATAAAAGACAAGTCTTCCCAGATGTGGAACCAGGATACCTAAGGCCCCTCATTGCAGACTGTGCACCCCAGGATCCTGAGAGCTTTGAGGATGTCTTTAAAGACATTGAGAAGATCATCATGCCAGGGGTAAGAAAAATGGATCCCTAGTGTAACATTCAATACTGCATGTAGGCTTTCAAAGGCTTTAAGGAAAGTGTGGATTGAAGGCTGTGCAGCTAGACTTTACAAACATAAGTATCTACACTTATCAGCTTTTAGAAGGCAAGAGTCTGCTTTGTATCCCTAGTTATATCATAGAATCATATAATAGTTAGGGTTGGAAAGGACCTTAAGATCATCTAGTTCCAACCCCCCTGCCATGGGCAGGGACATCTCACACTAAACCATGCCACTTGAGGCTTCGTCCAACCTGACCTTGAATACCGCCAGGGGCGGAGCATTCACAACCTCCCTGGGGAGCCCATTCCAGTGCCTCACCACCCTAATAGTAATTAATTTCTTCCTTATATCCAGTCTAAACTTCCCCTGTTTAAGTTTGAACCCTTTACCCCTTGTTCTGTCATTACAGTCCCTAATATGACCTAACAATTTACACAACAAAAGTTTTCTGTTCTTGCTAAAAATAATCAAATCATTCTTTTGCTTCATGTGACGTTTGCTTTTGGAAATAATCCCCTTTTCTCTCCTCAAACTGGTTAAGGCAAAGCTTCATAACTTTCAATTTCATGTGATATTTTTGCTACTTGCGAAGTACAATAAATATAAAATGCTCTTTTTTTCCCAATTTTATTAGTTTGCTGTGTCTAAAGTGTTCCTTCAAGCTGATCTTTAAATGTTAAAATTCTCTTAGGAGACTTCCTTTCATTATAGGGCTGATTATAAAGGATTCCTCTTTATACTTGTTCTGTTGACTTACTCTTCTAAATGTCAACTTCTAGTAGCTTTTAAGGCAGATAGCCACTACCTAGATATTAGTCCTTGTATAGATCAGTGTTGGACAGACGATGCAGAAGAAAGTATCTAACATTTGCCCAGTTTTGACTCTTTCTTGGTTTTCCACTCTTGATATACCTTTTTTATTTTAAATATATGTTTGTCTCTTAAGGCCTCTAAATAACTTGACAAGGACAGGATTATTAGTAAATGTTAAAGAGGAATCTCTCTTTTGGATCTCTGCAATAACAATTTTGGGTTGCTTCTCTGGATGTAGCTAGGTTATGTAATTGCGATGTGACTAGAACCACTGCTCTGCAAATGTGCTTAGTGTACGATAATACCAATTCCTTTTCATTGACCAATGTAAATATTTGATATTCAATATGGCTTTATCTTGTTTCCCTTGGAGCCAATGCTGCTGTCCTTTCACAGGCAAAAGCTCCGCTGAAGTTAATGAAAATTTCTCCACTCTTCTCAAAGATTTGTGGGTGAAGTCTTAAATTCAGCAGAATTAATTAGACAGGTGAATTATGCTCAACACATGCAAATACTTTCATTGCTGCTCATAGATGTGATTGCCTTTTCTTTTTCATTGGATAAAAATACTAAACAATTATTTTGTGGTGTAGAACAGAAAACAATTTGCTTTAAACAAGTAAGAACATTCAAGAAAATAATATCAAATTAAAATAGATGAGTCACATGAGAATAGAGAGACATTGAATTCCAATTATGCCATCAATATGTCATATTTCCTCTTAATTAAATTGATTTTTTTTCTTGATATTTACATGCCCTGCAAGTAAATTTACTTTTACAAGGTGATACATGCTGAAGAAGAAATGTTCTATCCAAAACTTTCCTCTGCTGTGACATGTTAGTGGTTTTGACACAAAGAACACAAGTACATAAATCCCAGTTTTTACAGTAATTCTGGTTCTGCCTATGTTGTTTATATTAAATATTGAAGACTCACATGAGCATAGAATCATAAAGTCATAGTATAGTAGAGGTTGTATGGCACCTCTACAAATCACTTAGTCCATCCCCACTGCTTAAAGCAGAGTTAGAGCAGGTTGCTCAGGACGACGTCCAATTGGGTGTTAAATATCTCCAAGGATCAGGTCTGCACAATCTCTCTGTTGGGTCTTAAAACTAAATTCCTGTTATCAACACTAGGGTCAACACTCAAGTTGCTTGGGTGCTTCACTACACACAGCTGTGGCCCTAGTCCATCTGCAACTATGGCACTGAACCTCTTCTGTAGTTGCAGACCTGCAGGTGGAGCAGAAGCCTTCCTTCTAGTGCCAGTAGTTGCAAGCTTCTACTCTCCACCAATGTGCGACTCCATTCCCCAATGCAATAAGCAGAGACTCTGACTGCTCCTCCTTTGCTGTGTTTTGGGATTCAGGCTTTTGTATCTGAGATACTTAGTGCAGTGTCTTGGGAAGATCTCTTTTTTATCATCTCTGGTACTACACAGTCAGTAGTACAAGACCTCCTTACGTTGTGTAAAACACAGACCCTCCACTAGTGCATACCTCCTGCAGGCTAAAAGACCATCTTGCACTGCCCCAACCTAGGCAAGAGGCCTTGTCATCTCTGCAATCCCAGGTCTGTAGAGCTGCATACTCCATCGGGAATTTAGTCTGGGTTGACACCTATGATGTGCTGGGGTAGTTGTCCAGTTGCTGCTGGGGACTGTACCTTATGGAGTGTCACAACCACTGTGGGGCCCACTTACACTGGTCTTAGTAGTGTTTCTGGACCTCTTCTATGCATAGTGTTGCACAAGCTGTTACTTCTGTTGGCTGTGTTCACAGAAAATGAAATGTGAAAATGATGGTGCTGTACAAACACATGGAGGCAGAGAGTATACATTTGGTTTAGCATCCTTTAAAATCATTTGTAATTTGTTTTAGGGATTTTAGAAATTGACTATAGGGACAATCTACCACCATTATATTTTTCCTTAATCTTCTTCCCATTTTTTCCTGACAAGACTAACATTTTTTAAGTACATCTAGTGTTATTCAGCTATAGTGATTTTCTAGCATTTCACTGGGGAATGTCTTATTTCCATTTTTTAAATGAGGGACTGGGCTTTTTCAAACAGAATAAGTAATGAGACAGAGGTCACAGAACCTTGTTTTACTATATGATATCAGTGGCCCATAAGTGATTCTTGTTTCCGTCAGGCTGATATCTTTACTGTGTTAGTTGTGTTCAGATATTTACCACATTGGATGATTGAAAATGTAAAAATGGTGTTCTTTCAGAGGAGGAAGAATCAATTAATTGTGTAAAGTAATAATGCAGTACCCACTGCTGTCTCTACCCTGTAGGAGAACGAGTATTCATGTGTGGCAAAACATTTCTATGGAGACTTCTTGTGAAATTGGAAGTAGGCCTTCAAAGGGCAGTCCACTAAATGATAATGACCATAATATGCACACAGGGGCTGAGGGAACAATTGCTGAACTCTGATCTCCACTCAGGAAGCCAAGGTGGAAAGGGTCTGCATATAAAAATATCAATGGGAGTCACCTTTCTCTCTCAGATTTGCTTTGTTCTTTTGAGATATATGTCCATTTTTAGAGCCAAGAATTATTAACTTTAGTTGTAACTGCAAGTAGCAGTTATGAAGATGCTAATTTTCCTCACATTGGATCCATTAATCTATGAACTCTCAGCTGACGTACCTATCCTTAGTGTGTGATAAAGGAAGACTTGCTAAGACTAAGCAAGCCATAGAAAGGAAGACATCCTCGGACAAAATCTGAGCAATGAAATGTCTCTGAGAAGCATTACAGTGGTAATTACCAAAATCAAGACACTTGTGTACCACTGTTTATTAGCAGAGGGCTGAAAAAAGAAGCATCAATTATATCACACTCTTTGCAATATTTGGCTAAGTGTGTCTGTTCCAATGTGGCAAAAGAAATGAATTATACAGTTGCTTCAAGAGAAGGGGGAAGGGGAGAAAGGAGGAAGAACTGCAGCTGCACTTGCCCTAGGGCTTTTGGCTTTTTTGCTTTGTGTGAGTGGTACAACTGAAATCTGCTGTGTTTCATCAAACAAATGCTCCCAGCAAGTAGGCAGTTTAACTTGATTAACCCAAGATGAATGTCACAAGACTTACAGATCACAGAGGATTAGAGCTGGGGAGATGAACAGTGACAGCCCTTGCTCATTGTGGACGTCAGTGAAAGTCTGTGCATATGGGTCCTATCAGGGACCACTGTTTATCGGGTATTTTTAGATCTGTCGGTTCTTTTTCTGTGAAGAGCCAAGTCCCATCACATTTTTTTCTGATTTGTGAAGGCAGGTGTTTGCCATAAGTGCTCTAAAAGTTTGTCACAGCAAAGAAAGAGATCCTGACCAGGTAAGACCTACAGCTAAAAATGTTCACAGTGGCTTGTCTTTGGATACCTGATTTGAGCAGGTTTGGATCTAGTGACAAGTTGTGGTATAACCCCAGCTGACAACTCAGTTTGCTCACTTGCCACCCCTCCTCCTCCATGGCATGGGGATGAGAACTCGAAAAAGAGTAAAATCTGTGGGTTGAGATAGGAACAATTTAATAATTGAAAAGAAGTCAAATATAGTAATAATAGTAATAATAACAGTCATAATAATTGTAATGAAAAGAAAGATAACAAAAAGAGAGAACAAATAAAACTACAAGAAAAACAAGTGATGCACAATACAGTTGATCACCACCGATGCAGCAATCTGCCCCACTCAAGTAACTCCCCCCAGTTTGCATACTGGGCATGAAGTGCTGTCATATGGAATACCCCTTTGTCTAGTTTGGGTCAGGTGCTGTCTCTGCTTCCTCCCAGCTTCTTCTGCTAGTCCTCACTGGCAGAGCATGAGAGACTAAAAAGTCCTTGATCAGAGTAAGCATTACTTAGCAACAACTAAAACATCAATGTGTTATCAACATTGTTCTCAGGCTAAATCCAAAACACAGCACTGCACCAGCTACTAGGAAGGAAATTAACTGTATCCCAGCTGAAACCAGAACACCAGTAAAACAGAAATCTTGAACATATCATGTACAGGACTAGTTTAGACAGTGGAAAATTTTAGTGGGTTGGGACTGTTTTCATCTGAAAGAGATAGGGGCATCTGAAATGTTATATATGGTATACGACACCAGAGAAAGTGATAGCTGATTAATTGTGTATACAAGAGTTAAGACAGTTTCCCCTTAGCTCTTCCCTTACAGGAGAGCTGGTTGTTGGCATGAAGGAGGCTAGGAGAGGAAATAAATGGTTATTTACAGCATGTAGAACAGCAAGGTACAGTGACGCCTGAGTTAGCTCTAGAACTAAAAACCTTATCGCAGACTGGGAGAGGGGAGTATGATAGGTAAAAATTCATCAGAGGTGGGAATGCAGAACAAAACAGGAAGGAAATGTTACAGGGATATAATAGTTACAGAAAGTATTGGATACTGGAAGAGATTGTTTCATTTTGTGGTGAAGGGCTGTTTGGCCAGATTCAGAGCCTGAATTTTAGCAAATAGCTCCAGAGCATGGGCAAGAGAGTTCTGTGGACCTCTGCTGCCCTGCAGATACACTTGCTAGGTCAACTGCATGTCAGAGATGAAAGAACAAAATATCAGCGAGTCCTTGAAAGCAGAGGCTGAAGAACAGTGCCCTGCACAGAAACTCTTGGTGCTACTGCCCCTGCACGTCTTGTCTTCTAGGCAGACAAATGGAGAACTCTGATTTTGGAACTGCTGGAAGGTGGGGGTAAGAAATCATTTATTCTGATTTGAATAAAAGATAGATACAAAATAGAAAAAAAAAAACCAAGAAAAGCTGTTCTAAAAAATATAACACTAAAAAGTGTTACAGAGAGGTAGTCGAGAACTGTTGACTGGTCCTTACCTCTGATATTTTCTGATTTGTGACAATTTGTTTCTGTTTCCTGCATTAGTTAAAATAACTGTTTTCCCCTTAATACAGGTGACTCACTGGCACAGTCCGTATTTTTTTGCCTACTTCCCTGCAGCCTCTTCCTTCCCAGCTCTTCTTGCAGATATGTTATGTGGTGGAATCGGATGTATGGGCTTCTCTTGGGTAAGTTTACTGGGGTATGTACTGCTATGTGGTAATGGTGCTTCACCTTGCCAAGATTTTAAGCATTTCAGTATCATTTTTCAATGAAAATATTGATTAATAGCAGTGAAGTCACAGGAGTATTTTTACAGGTAAATTTTCTTGACTAATAAAGTGTTTTCACATAGCCTCTATGACTCAAGGAATAAAAAGCTATTTCCTCATAGAAGTTTCACTCTTGAAAGATCACCAACATCTAGAATCAGTGGTAGCAGTGCAAAATTACTGGTAATTCACTGAGTAGTATGACTGTTGCCTATCACCCAGTGTTGTCACTTCTCTTATCAGCTGCATGAATGGCAAATTCTGTTAAAAAATCCCCCACATTCATAAAAGACGGGCTTTTCTCAAGAGGTTGTTACTTGATGTCAAAAAAAGCCCAACCCCAAGATGCAAATCTTGGCTTTGACATTTGATAGTCACGATTCTGTGTGAGGCCCAGTTTGACTTTCTTTTCAGAAAGTATTAGAAAAACATGCACAGAGTGGTCCTCAGGTCCCTAATTTGGCTGGGGAAGTTAGTTAGATAGTCTTTTCCTCCATAGTTAAAAGACAGAAAGAGTTATTCTTGCTCTGGGAGATTATATTTATCTTTATGGTCTAGTGAGGTTATTCCCTCTGTTCTATTTTTCAACCCAGGCTGCAAGTCCAGCTTGCACAGAGCTGGAGACTGTCATGCTGGATTGGCTAGGAAAGATGATTAATTTGCCAGAAGAGTTTTTAGCAGAGAAGGATGGCCAAGGTGGAGGAGTCATTCAGGTAAGAGGGGATATGAAGAAAGAAATCGGGATGACTTTGTGGGTTGTTTGATTTTGTAAAACCTTCATACCAAAATACTACTAAAGGAATATTAAAGTAAAATGAAGAGCTGCTTAAAATTTCAACTTAAATGGCTCTATCAGTAAATAATAGAATTTTCAGACTACACTGCAGTATCCAAAATAGACCAGACCCCCAAACTTTGATGTTAACTGTTTAATGAAGGCCTGAATAACAATTAATACAATGTCTGAACGGAGTATCTGTTAGATAATGAATATATCATCAATGGGCAAACTTGCATGCATAATAAAGCTATGTTGTTTGACAACCATGGTTCACTAGCACATGGTCTTTCTGCAAATGCAGACTCTGGTCACAGCTATTAATCTAACAAAAATAGATCTCTACTGTGAAAAAGACTGAATTTTAAATAGTTGTTCTGTGCTCCTTTGATAATCTCTGGAGTCTGGTAATTGGAAAGCAGTCAGGGCACAATCCGTTTTATCCTATGATAGGCTTCAAAAATACATCTGAATTACATGCTAGAAGTGGGGGCTTCTTTCTTTGATCTCAGCTGCAAATGCCTATAGCATAATCCAATTAATTCTTCCCAACATTTTCCCAGGAATGTATGAATTTAACCCAAGTGCTTTATTTCTCCTAGGCAGAGCTGCACCTATACGGCTGTGTTTCCAGCATAGCTCTTTACTCATCTGCTTGCTCTCTTAGGACCTTTATTATTATGATGACTGGGGAGGGGGGTTTGTTCAAGAAATCAAGCTTTTGTCATGCATCTCAGCCGTATTTATTTTGTACCAGTGAAAGCAAGCAATTATGCCTGATGGTTATCATCAGGAAATATTGGCCTTCCAGGCTAACAATGCTGGATTGCTCATAATTTTAATCAGAAACCAGTCAGTTTCAAGATTGAATGTGGGCTCTGTGTTCCTGCCTAAGATGAAGTCATTTATGCTGCAGATTTTCTTGTCTTGCTCTTGAAACAATAATGATACAAATAAGAGAGCGTGAGGCAAAGACAACACGAGAATGTGAAAGTGCCAGTCATTCTCTTGGTAAATACCAAGTAATTATTGTGGTATTGGGTAAAGCAGCCTGTGAAAATTGGCTCTTAATTACATTTGGAAGTCTGTGTCAATATGAAGCACTTTGTTGTGTGCAGGATGACACTTGAAAATGGCAAAAGATGAAAGAAAATTTCAGTTCAGAGCTCTGGTGGACATGAACATCAGCTCTTGCTGATATTTCTTCCGCCTCTTGAGCCTGCTTGCCATGGCAACCTTTGCTTGCGGTAAAAGGAAAGGTATCATCATCCGTCACTAAATGCAGAATACAGCATTCAAGAGGAGAAAAAAACCCAGCTTTTAAAAATAAGTGAGAAAGCAACTTTCTCCCTGAAGCTTGTATCCTGCTGTTCATTCTAGATAAACTGCTGAAAAGTGTACCTACTTTGAATTTTAAAGAGTTCTTTGCTCTGCAAAGAAAAAGTATGTTTAAGTGTGAAACAAAATGAGATTCAACCTGTCTTTGGCCTGGCAAGGAACACTGATGATTTATCCTTCTTGTAAGTTAGCCAAGTAGTTCAAGAACCAAGTTTTGTTTTCCTCAAATATATTTAGCACAAGATTGATGACAGGTGAATAGATGTACAGTCCATGTTCTGTAAACACTGTCTGCTTCAGTGTAAGAAAGGTGACTTACGGAAACAGAGGTAAGGTGAAAAAGCCTATGTCTATTGTGAAACATTAAAAAATGTTGCTGGATTCAAGTACCTTTAGGCTATGTTCCAGCTGTATATCAGGAGGCAAGATTCAGCTGTTCAACAGGCCTTTTCCTTTTCATCCTTCTATGTAAGAAAATTGATACAAGAACTGTTGTATGCACTGACTAAACACCAGCGAGGATGAGCTGCCAGGGTGCCAGGGCATCTTGTGGCACTCCTTAGAAGGCTGAGGCTATTCTTGAACCTAAGTCATTTGCCTGCCCATCCAGGCAGTCTCCAGAATAGTGGGGGCTTAAATTTCCAAATCTCAAATTAATGCCTGAACCTTTAGAATTTCCTACAGCTGTTTATACATTTGTGTGCATTTCGTTAACATGTATATTCCTTACATGTCCTGTAAAGACAATAAAGATTTTACAGGACCTTATCATTGCCAAATATATTTTAATAAAAGTAATAGTATTTTTTTCCCACATACTAAAAGCAAGGGTGCTAGAGCTACCTTTACTGTGAAGAACCCAGGTTTAGAAAGGTTGCTTTCAGTGACTTGCCCGATGTGAGTTCTTCCACACAGGCTTTGTGTTGCCCAGCTTCGTTATGAGGACATGCAGCTTACCTGAAACACATCACAATAAGCTTCAGTAGTTTGCACAAATGAAAAGTATTCTCACCTGCTGAATTTCTGGAAAGGGTATTTCAGACAACATTGTCTGATAGCATGCTTAGACTATTACATTATATAGTGCTTGTAAAAAAATCAGGAAAGAAATCAGCTTATCAGAAAATAGGTGATGTCCTTGACTGAAACGTTCCTTGCATCTGCTGGACATCTGGGATCACAGTAATTGTATTCTATCTCACAGGACTGTTGGGAAGCACAAGTATTTTTTCCCACTGTTACTTAGCTATTGTGCTGAGCATGGAAGAAACAGTTTTGCTAACAGAGACATGATAACAAAAGTTTCGCATCAGGAAATTTAAATTCTGTTGAGATGTTGCCATGTATAGAAGGCAGTTTTGTCTTATATAAATAGCTCAGCTAACTTCAGTTTTAGGAGAAACACTGAACTCATTGGGAACATTCTCATATATGAAATTATAAGATCAGGCACACAGATCTTCAACAGAGGGAGCATAGAATTTTGGTACAGGATAAGAAAGATCACCCCAAAATTAGCTTGTCACTGGGGATATTTCTGAATTATTAATATAAGCAACTGTACTCATTGCCCTGTCATGTGCTTGGCAGAGGAAGATTCACATGACAGTTGTTCAACTTTGAAAGTACCTAAACCCAAAATCTTACGTATGGACACTCAAACCCACTGAAATTTATAAACATGTTTACAAACTGTTACTTGTATTTTAAAGGAGCAGTTTAGAGCATGTTTCATCTGCCTCTTCTAGAGGAAAGCCAGTAAGAAAAATTGTGGGATCTTGTATTCTCTTGTGAAGTTTACAGATCAGTTGATACAAAAATTCCTCTCTTTGTTGTTGCAGAGTATCCAATACACAATTTATACTCATGTTTTGTGAATCAAAATGCAACTTAGAAATAGTGTGTGTCTGTTACATCTGTGTGGTTTTGATGAAGAATACGTACATAACTAATACTTCGAAATGCAGTTAGCTGTATTGAATCATAACTTTTTTGCTTTGTTGACTTGCCTAGGATAACTGTAAATATTAAATAAGCATTATAATTGTGTATATTGCTTGATAGAAATGAGAGTTGACAGCCAGATTCTAGTGGAAGTTAAATTTGCAGAAATCCCGCATAACAGAATTCAGCAGTTACTCTGCCATTGTCAGTGGTAAACAAATGATTGGTGCGTGGTTGGAGAGCCTTTTGACATACGTTTAAGTCCCTGAGTCCCACTTTCTAGCACAGATTGCAAGGATGGTGCCTAAACTGAACAAGTGTAAAGATTAAAGAGAGCAGACAGAGGTATCAGGAAGGAGGAGATTAAGATCAAATACAGATTCCTCCCTTGCTGTCACACATATTCTTAAAAAACATGAGATCGTGCAGTTTCTCAGATGCAGTTTCTGTTGACCACTTTGCAGATTCATACAGAAGAAAATGTTGCTTTTCTTCTTCTGGAATGTCTTCCTTTTGAACAGTCCTTCAATTTTTCCCATAGGGAAGTGCAAGTGAGGCCACCCTGGTTTCACTGCTTGCTGCAAGAACAAAAACTGTCAGACGGGTGCAGGCAGAAAAGCCTGAGCTAACAGAAGCAGACATCATGGGCAGGCTGGTGGCCTATGCTTCTGATCAAGTGAGTACCTCTCAAAACCATGTAAACATGGGGTCTATACTTAACAATTCAGTCATCTCAATAGACAGATGAATTAAGTATAAACTCTTTAGATTGGTAACTATATGGTTTTGTATGTCTGTGTGTGCACGTCATTTTCCTCCTATGTATACATGTGCAAACGTCTGTCCATCCATCCATCCATCCATTCATCATCCTCCTGCTGTATGAATGCATAGTTGCAGGTGCCTGCACACAGAAAACCGTAAAGTAAATTGGTTGTAGTGTTTCAAGAAGCCCAAAACATTATATCCATTTTTTTTATTTTTTAAAGGAAAACTCTGCGAAGATCTTCATGTATAAGCCCAGCTAAGAAATCTTGTAAAACAGAAAGCATAATCCTTGATTTCTGGCTGTGAGTGGTATTTAGCAGACTGAGCTAGGCTAAATTCTCAGCAGGCCAGGATCATGAGAGGCTTTTACTGTTAATGTGACCAAATTTGAATCTTTTGAGTTCTGCTGCTACTACCCTTCTGACACACTAATCCTACTGAAGGGCTAAGCAATGTTGTTTCTCTCAATAGCTGTGACATTTTCATATCTAAATGTCAATGAGACAGAAGAAACTTAGCACCTGATGTTTAGTTTAAAATCGTATCTGATTATGCAGAATAAAATTGCCAAGTTTTAGGCTTACCTTGATTTCCTAAGAAGTGTATGTTCAAAAGCACTGGAAAGCAAGTTAGAAGTGCACAGCTCTTTGTTGGTGGGAAGGGGGACTATACTTGCAGGGTGAGAAGAGTTAGAACAAGAAATGCAAGGAAAAATAACTGTTTTAAAAAGGCACAACTGATATTTATTTGTCCTTTGTTTTCTTTTTTCTGGGACCCTAAGGTCTGTGCTGTGCAGACTGCCAGTTCCAGAGCCCAAACTCTCACTCAGTGATACACAAAGCCTTTTACTTGTTTTCGGTTTTTTGTCCCATGTAAGTGGCTGACCTGAAATAAGGTCTGACAGGCCTTACTGCTTACTGAAGGTCAGAGGACTTATGTTTACAGAAGGATTTGCCTTAAGATAGTGCTGCCCTTTCAAAGCAGATTGTTGCAGAGCTCACCAGTCCTCCTGCATTAAGAACAGACCTGTGTGACTCACAGACAATAATCCACAAAAGAAAGTAAACCTAAGCCATCCTGTGGGAGAGAAAGTCATGCACAGACAAGAGCACAGTATCACAGGAAAGCATTAGGAGGGAGGCTAGTAAGGAGGCCCAGAGCAGAGAGCTAAACTCAGATTTTATATATCTTCCTAGGCGTTTCTGGAAAATCTTTATCCCATTGAAATAATTTTGCTTTGTGCTAATGAGCACAGAGCATGGCTGGTAACAAGTCTTTCCTCATGAACTACCTGGGGGGCTGGAGTCAACAGTGCCTGGGCTATCCAGGCTGACATTTTGTTTGCAAGGGACACTGAGACCTTGGAGCTGAAAGGAGCATCTAAAAGCTACCCCTGACAATAGACATCTGACTGGGGACCAGGACAGAAGTCAGGGTACTTTTTGATGTTCTCAACTTTTCTCAGGCCATATCTTCATCACCCTTTTTTTTACCATGTTTATTTGGCTGCCTTAAGCAGCTGCCCACTCATTTCACTGCTTTCTGCTTGGTTCCTTGCCCTCCTCAAAGGTGGGGGGGAGATTACTTAGTACTTTGCTGAGGACTAGGAATTCCATGGAGCAGCAGGTTACTGAAGATGTGTTATAATGCAAAAGCATCTTGGCAGTTTTAAACTTAAGATTGTGAACGGCTATGATTATCAGAGAGCCTTATTACCATTTTTGAGAGTCGAAGAAGCAGTTCAGAGGTTGGGACTAGCTAACAGCCTCAGTGTATTGTTATAGTTTGCTTAGCTGTAATTCAGTTATAAAATACCTCTTATCATGTGCACTTGAATGAAGTATGGTATTGCTATGGTACACACATTGTTTTCCACTTTAAAAGTTATATTTCAAGTCTAGACTTCCAAATTTTCTCAAGTTGTTGCCTGATTAGTTTACCAAAGTACTTTAACAAGAGACAGCACTGAGATGCAAGTTGACAGTAAATGTGCCTTGTCATTCTAGGGGAATGTGAAGTTGAAAAGCAGAAACTTGTATCTTCATCTGGTCTTGTTCAACCTGTGCTTTAGCTTAATTTTTTCTGTGATTATATGCTAAATTAGAATAGAATTAGTAACTACTCTTGCCAGCAGTAGCAAGAATTAATAAGAGTAGGATGGACATTAGGAATGAGAATAGTCACAATATGAAAAGGTGAGGAATTATTAAAATTAATGGCAATTAGTGAAATTGTAGAAGATGAAAGGTAAAATAGCTTTTTGGGGGGTTAGTCATGCTCTAAAGGAGAGTATTTTCTGGCTAAAGTTATCGTACTTCACAAATTTATAAGAGCTTTTTAGTGATAACTTTGACTTTATTTACTAATATGCGCTTTATGTTCTAAAAATACTGTTTCTGGAGAATTCAGATCAAGTGGGTTATAAATAAAATAATGTATTTGGAATGATCCTTAATTGGCTTACAAAATGAATGAATGATTGAGCCACGATTTAGTCAGTGTGTAATCTAAAAAGAAAAGATTATCATGTAAGAAAATATCTCATTCTATACCATACCATGACATTAACTTTTTAGAGTTCTGCAAAGCTGCATGCCATAAAAATATGGTAGTAAGCAACTGAATCATTATCAGGCAGGCTGATTTTCTGTATGTCTTTTGACTGATTTAGAGCCAAAACCCGAAGCTCTTAATCACTCCTACCTAACTGTGAACATGTTAATTAAAGCTCTCTCTAAGGCTGATTGAACTCTTGTCTGAATGATGCCATGGCAATAGTCTCAAGAATACTTCAGGGTTTCCATTAGTGTATTTTGTGTGTGTGTGTATGTATGCATATGTATGTATGTGTGTCCATATGTCTGCCTATCTGTATGAAAGAGAGAGGTATGTGTCTGTTATATACCAGCAACAGTCCCAGGATCTCAAGTATTGCTTTACTTAAAGGAAATTGTTATTTTATTTTTAAATTCAAATTAACTTCTTAAATTCCAATAAAAAGTATCTGTCTTAAAATGTGTCCGTTTCCTTGTAGGCTCATTCATCTGTGGAAAGGGCCGCACTAATTGGGGGTGTAAAGATTAAAAATATTTCTTCAGATGATACATTTAGTGTTTGTGGTTCAGCCCTAAAGAAAGTTTTGGATGAAGACAAAGCTTCTGGTCTTATCCCGTTCTTTGTGAGTACTGGATTTAATTAATCTGTGGATTTATTGCTTCTGATAAGCTAGTTTTGACGTGAATAGATGATGTCATCCCTAACAGAGGGATCAATAGGCAGCCTAGCTAGAATACTAGAAGAGGTTCCATGAGTGTTCTAAATACACCTTTCTGTGCAGGAAGATAAACAAATTTGAGCAACTGGCTGCCCTTATCAGCAAAAACAATGTTTTAAAAGGACTTGAGGTTATATTAGACAGCCGAATAAATGGAAATGAAATTTTTAGTTGCAGTGTTATAATCTCCTAGCACTTGAATTCTGAACTGCCATTTTTAAAAAGTTATATGTTTATTTTTCAGGTTCTAATTTACCCATAAAACAAGTTTAAAAGCACAAAATTATATGATGGTATCTCACACTTAAATATTTTGAAGAAACAGTAGTTTCCCCTCCTCACTACTGTAGCAATGAACCTCCATAGTATAGTCAAGTATCATCAAGATCAGACACTGTCAGGCAGATATTTGTGAATATGTGACTTGCCTCTAACTGGAAGCTCTAGGTGTCATCCTTTCTTGTTATTTGTCCATTCTTTCCAGAGATTTCTGCTTCCACAGCAGTCTAGCAAAAGCAATGTGTTTATATCTCAGCAGCAAAAGCCATAATCCCCCCTTTTTGATATAAACCAGTGTTAGATTGGATAAAATTCTGAAGTTTGGTTCTACTATGAGAAGTACTTGATCAAAAAGAACATTTGTTTACTTATCAGATCTACTCTTCCCATCAGTTCAGAACACCATCCTATTATTTCAAGTTAAAACAAGACTTTGCCTTTCAGTTTTGGATTGTTGTTAGGGTTTTTTGTTGCTGTTGTTTGTGGGTTTTTTGTGGTTTTGTTTGTGTTTGTTTGTTTGTTTTTGTTTGTTTGTTTTGCTGTTTGCTTCCCCCCCCCCCCCCCATGGAGTAAGTAATCTCTGTACATCATCAACAAAATTATTTGTTCATTTCTAAGCAAATGGGCTGTCTAAGGAGTATAATATGCTACCAAGAATACGTTTTTACTGGCCTCCACTGAAGGAAAATTGGAGAAAAAATCTACCCCTATTTTAGCAACCCAGAACTTCAGAAATGGGATTTTTTAAGGCAGCCAAAAATATGTCACAATTTTTTCAGAAAAGTCATGTCTGACTTGAGAGTTGTTTCTTTAGTTTCATGTGGTAACATTTTGAAAAGGGCTAAAGTGACTTAAATTTCCATGAACTGTTTTCAGAAGAATTAGCAGATTAAGTTTGCTTATTCTTGTGGTTAAGTGCCAAGTGGGACAAAGAAGCTTAGATTTCACCAAGCTCTTTTGAAAATTTAACCTTTTTACTCTTCTTGTTATTAAACTTTAGTGTCTGTTTTTATGTAGTATAAAAATGACTAGGCTGAAAAGTGGTTTAGATACGTTCAGAATGCTACTCATTTCTAGTCTGACTATAACTACTGAGTCCTTAGGATGACCAAGCACTTCCCATCAATTTTTCTCCAATATAATAAGACTCTGACTGAGAAACAAAGCATTTCTAGGTATTCCAAAGTGAAATTTCTTCTGTGGACTGCAACTATTGAAATGGAGATGTGCCATAAGGTATGGTTTATTTCTTTGTTATATGGTGCCAGCTCATAATATCTTATATTATGCACAATATTGTATCTCCATACACTAACTGCAAAGTTAATGTGTTTTCCCCTCATCTTTTGTCCATTAGGAAAAAAAAGCAACTTGCCACTCATAAATATTTATTTCTTATTTTTTTATGTGTAGCAAGAGGAAATAAAAATTCTCTTTTATGTATTCGGTGACATCTTTACAAAGGGTGATTTAGGTGTTGTTCTTCTTCCTCTGTTTGCCTAGCTGTGCAGAACAGGCTTTGAAAGACAGTAGAGGCTGATCTGAGTTCATATGGCCTGTACCACCTCTTCCATTTATTTGTATACAAGAAACATGTCAGCTTAGATTAAACTAGATCTCATTATCCTTATGGATGGCCTCTTAACTCAAAAGGTGTGTTAATTCTCTGTCATGCTGAGCAACAGTCAAGGCACTCTATTAGTGCTCTGTTTTCTGGCTTGCAGATTTCAAAAGCCTTTCCATTTCTTTTATTCTTGAGTATTTTGGTGCAGTTTTATTTTGTTCTGGTGCCAAAGATATGCACATTGCCAAGGAAACACCTCATGCCATGTTATTCCTTGTCTCCCTGTATTCACTGATCCTTCACTAACGGCTGTGATTCAACATCAAAGCAAAAGGTTTAACAGAAGAAATTCCGCCTAAAGAGACTTGCAGCAGCAGAGATATCATTCCTAATGAAGACATTTTGGCTGCATCCAAGCTGATGCAGTCTCCCTTGTAAGAAAAGAAAAAAAGTTTTGTAGAGGATTAAAAAGAACATGCAAGCAAATTACAGTGCCTTGTAGGCATGATTCTCCTCTTGTATTTAAGGAACAAATGAGGAATTATTATCCTGAACTTGATAGAAATCCTTTGCTTGTAGAGGTGAGTGGAGAATAAGGGGCGAATTTGCTTGATGTGGAACAGGTTCTCTCATTACAGCCATCTGGTATTTATAGGTTTGCTTTTTATGTACACAGGATTTGGCAGTCAGTCTTGTTTGGGGCCAGGCATTGTCTTTAAAATGAGTCTTTGAATTCCTATTCACCATCAATATCTTTTAGCACTAGTAATGTGTATATAATTTTGTTCATTGAAGGCTGTTGTCAGTTAGTGTACCCAGACCTCTGCTTTTGTTTCCTTTTTTTTTTTTGATTTTAAAATTCAGATGTGTGTTAATTTGTCTCTTTCAAGATACTTTTGCAGAAATTGAAACAGGTACAGTTTTGTATAGCAAAGCAAGCAGACTGTGCAAACAAAGCACTTAACTGTGTCTGATGTTAAAGCACTAAAGTTGCTGCAATTTAGTGAGGAGCAATTTCCAAGGGTGGCTGATATGCAGCCCTTCATCTGGCCACCAGATAACGGGGAGCTTTAAAGCATATGCTGAGGTCATGACCATGTCAATAATTACAGACATTAAGTGGTGGTTATGCACACACATAAATGCCTTTCTCGGTTGGACCCTGTATGCTTCCAGCTTGAGACAGGCCTGTACTTTGGATGAGCATTGACCAGGATGCTCAAATATGGAGATCACCAAGTAAAGCACCGCTAGTTCAGGTGTAGAGTCCACTGCATTCAAGCCTAGTTCACTTGAATATGTCTAAGTGGCCTGTGAGCTTTACGCTATCTTTCATAAGTCAACACTGATATATTGCAGCTGGCCTATATATAGTACAATATACTTCAACAACCTCATCCAGTATAAAGCTTCTATAACATAATTGCCTTGCTGCTGAACAAAGGCCCAGCATGAAATCCATCTGATTCTAGCTGAAATTACTCTTCTGAATGATGATCTGCAGGATATTATGAAGCAGGCTGTTTGTATCTGGACTCACTTAGGAAACAATAAATCAGAATTAGAGTGACAGAGGAGCCATCTTTTCAGTAGAAGTTAACACTAAGATCCTGATCACTGTTTGGAAGAAGCATTCTTGAGATATGTATAGATGTCCAGGGTGATGTTTCTTAATTCACAGTTTGTGAATGATCACTAGTTTGTAAAATACTGAATGGTTTAGTAAACTGTTGCAGTTTTCTTCAAGCCACAGACATTCTCTTGAGTGCAAGATGGCAAACAACTGAGTAGGGGAAAATAAATACAGTAAGAGAACATTGAAGGTTCTGTCTCATTATAGTTAATTGCAAATGAAAAGCTTTGTGGTGAGCCTGTGCAAAATGTGTCCACATATTTTTCAAAAGCTGTAGGGGGTCTTCCAGTTGAAAAGATTGAGAGTCATTGCTCTCAGGCATCATAAAGATTCATGCATGTTTCCTGACACAGCTCTTGCTTTCAGAAAAGTAGTATATGAGATGACTGATGCAAGCACTTTTGCTGCTTTGTATTAGCAACCAGGCTTGAGTCAAATTTGAAGTGCGCAACCTGAAAAGGATAAGGCCTGCAGGCTATACTGAGCCATCAGTCCCATTTCCATGATGCAGCCTTTCTCCCGTCCTTTGCACAAATGTGATTTTGCCAGTGGTATACAGGATACAAATTGAGTTAGATTTGTTGTGTAGAAGTGAGACAGGGTAATGAGAGTCCTGACAAGAGCAGATGCTGTCACTTGAAGTGGTTTCTGAGAGTTAAATCAAGTAGCTTTAAGGCTTAGACTCCTGCAGAGAGGACAACAAAATTATGTTAGAAACTGAGGTATGCTTTACTGAATAAGCCACTATTTAAATAACCAAGCATATGTTTGAACTCATAAAATCTCTTATAGAAGCAACATACTCCTTACTCTGATTAGAAGGAGAACACTTTAACTGCAGTACAACACTAATAAAAACAATGTGTAACTGTTGTGAAATCTCTTGTCATTATTTTAATTGCTGGACTAGACAAGAAAATTTCACTCTCATCCTGTCAGAAAGACTACAGCATATTATCATAAAATATATGTATAAAAGCAGAACTAAGTCTATAGTCCACTCTTTATTAGGGCTAACCCCTATTCTTTATGTATATAGAAACCCCAGAATTTTCTTTCAATTTCTTGTGACCCAATTTGTAGATCTGCAGTTCAGCAAAAGATGAAACTCAAGTTTCTCCTGATTGTGGGAACATCTTAGGTAGACAATAATGTGAGAAATATATTTTGACTCCACACATGCATGCTGCCGTAGTAAGAAAAAAGACCAAACTTACTTCTTTTCTAAAAAAAATATCCTGCAATCTTTTAAAAGCAGACTTCCTCAAAGGATGATTAAAGGTCCAGAGAAGTCATAAACGTACCTCAAGGCACTGTAATTATTCTGTTCTTCTCATGTGTCTCAGAAATATGGGAAGGCCCAGCATAAAGATTAGATTATTCTGAGAGGAAAATGTGTTAGCAGCAAAATGTTCAGCTCATCTGCAGAACTGTATTTGTTTCAAACTCAGGTTCTTAGTAGCTTGATTTAGAAAAACATACTGATTTTTCCCTTTCTTATTTTATAAGAAATTATGATTATTATTAGTAATTATTTATTATAAATATATATAAAGTAATACTAGTATTTATTATTATAAAATTAGAATATTTTCCCCATAGCCGGTATTTGTAATTGGTGCAATTAAACATGATGATAGTTATTAATACTGCTGTAATTGTGAAGTTGGGGGAACATGTGTGCTGTCAGGGATAAAATGTTTTCAGCATTTTACATGACTACATTGAATCAGGTCTCTACTAACAGGGTACGACTTCCTCTAAGACTGTACATAAATTCATATGAATAGAGTACTATCTGAGTACTGTCCACTAAACAGAAAAATTCAGCCCCCTACAAACAATTTAAAAGATCTATGAGGTATACAGTATGATATAGAAACAGAAATGTTTGAAAGTGTACTTAAAAGAGGGGGTTTACCTCTAGCAACAGATTATTGATTAGTTCAATATTCTTGGGATGTGTAGTTTTAAATATCTGGCTTTTTGAATACATCTCCACCTGCTCATCTTACTGAATACTCGTGTTAGTGTGGGATTTCCTAGAAATTTTGAAAAATCCAGTTTGATGAGTAGTGAAACAGCCATCTCTCACTTTGCGTAAGAACCTGGAACTAGTGGATGAAAATCCTAACGCATTTATCCAACTGTCTGTCTCATAATCAGATTATTTTTGTCAAGATGCCAGGCCTTTCTAATGTGCTGTTGCTGCATTATTTCATAGAACGAAAAGAAGAAAAAAAAAGCTTGATGGGAAATGTGAAAAGCAAAAATAAACAAGCATCTTGAAACTGCATGAGCAGTTATTGAGAGGACCAGTTAGGGAACCCCCAGAAGGACAACCAATTCTTGGTTCTGAGATGTGCACAGGACCTGCTTCAAGATGTGACCGTAGATGATTTGTAACAGTCTCCAATATCCAACAGCTGGTAGAAGTGAAAAGGCAATAAAATCTCTATCTTGAAAGAAGGTGACGATTTATGAATGAGGATGAGTGTTCAAGGGAACAAATAAAGGGTAAAATATTGGTAGCTATCAAACATTCTGTCTAATTAGAGCAGGAATACATAGTGCAAATCTGTACCACCTTTTAAAAAAGAGGGGAAAAACACCCTCCCTTAAAAAGCTGTTGTTGTTTGAGTATGGGAACCCCTAGAATTAAAGAAGTATCACTGAAATGCAGGAGAGACAGCATGTGAATGTCCAAGCCAGAACAGGAAAAAAGCATACACTTGGCAAGTGAAACATAGTATTTGGCTAAAACAGATGATAGGATTTAGGCAAACAATTTGCTAATGCCATAATAACATGGAATTATTTTTCTCAGAAGTAGAAAGCTTGTGCTAGAGATAGAGTAAAAGCTGAAGCAGGTAAGGCCACATCAGGTAGCACAAACATGAGCAAAATTGTTTACTGAAGAAGTGCTTATTCACATCATGATGATTGTAACTGACAGGCCAGAAGTCCACCCTGTCTCCAGCTGCCGCTCTCAGCCGGTCATCAGCAACACATCCCCATTCTGCAGCAGCTCCACAACTACGTAGCAGTGACAGATAGCATAGCAGGAAAACCTACTGTCCTGGACAAACTAAACAGATGCTTAGAAATACAAGATTACTTGGCATGTTGGATGGGCCAGAGAAGTCCAGCGCAGAGAAGGAATCACTGGAAACTTTCCCTCATGGCATCACTCCTTCTGCAAGAGAGAGCAATGAACCCAAAGGCTCTGCATATGTACTCAGTACGGAGCTGTGACCCAAAACTGCACTGCATGGAGTTTTAATGCATACTTATACCTGTGTTTTGCTATGACAGTATGGTTTTCTTCTTCAAAGGTCTCGTGGATGGACAGGTATCATCTAGGTGTTCCTTTGTGTTCTTATAGGTCTTGTCATGAGTTCACTAAGGGATGTGGACACAACAGAAAGAATGTGGCTACTTGCAGATATGAAGGGAAAAACAGTGAAAGCAAAAGATAGTGCACTGACAGTGTACTTGGCAGAAAAAAGTAACCGGAAGTACAAAAATCCCCCCCCCCAAAATCTGGATTTCACATATTTATAGTTATGTCCTGGCTGTATTACAGTTGTGTGTGACCTTGGATAAATGATCCAATTCCTTTAAACTTAATACTCTTAACTAAAACCCAGCATATTTTATTTGCCTATTTAACCTATGAAGTGTCTTCTATTGTATAAAAATCCAGAACAAGGCAGAAATCAAACCCAGTCTTTATTAGCACTTGCAAAAAGGAGACAAAGTGTTTAAAGCAGAAGTGTAGCAATGAAAAATAAAATAATGTCAGTTTATATGCACTTGGTAGTTGATTTTTGGGGGTTATAATTCTACCTGCATATTCCCAGTAAGTTACCATAGCTCATTTTCACCTAGTTACTTTTTTTTTTTTTTACTGTGAAAATACGGTATTTATGTTGCTTCTGCCTTTTGCCCACTGATAATGCAGCAGGACACATTAAAGGAAGCATTAACCAAATGAAGGAAGGATGTTTCTGGTATTTTGGGATGAATTTGGGAGAAAATGTTTCTCTGGCAATATATCTTGGAAACCTAATATGCTACTAGTGAGTAGGTCCCAGGCTGCAGATCCATTGAGCACAAAGCAGTTAAAAGTCTGTTACAGAGCTGTGGCTCTTTAATTCAGGCAGTAACCTTTTATGACGAGTTCTGTCAACAGCACTTCCAGCACCTTTAAGTTGATCAAGTTCAGAGTTTGCTTATAGACCACAAACTGCAAATCATTATGGTGATAATTGTGTACGTGAGGTTAGTATTGGGCCACATGATAAGCATGTGGAACACATGGGAAATATATAAAATATAGTATTAAGGTAATACTGTGACTGTGTTGCATAATTTGTCAGTCAATTTTCGGTGAACATTCGATTTTATGCATCTGTTTCAAGAGATGTCTATGGGAGCTTTGAAATGATTGATTCTCAGAAGTTCCCCTGAAGGATGGTTATTGGCTGCTAAAATCCTTTTTTTTTGCCCTATATCACCTATTCTATTTATTGTTGCCTTTGCAGACAGTTTTTTTTTCATTTGATACTATTCTTTGCTGTAACATTTTATTTTTTTGCCTTTGTGTGTTTGGCTCTGCAGTTCTGTGCAACACTTGGAACCACACCTTGCTGCTCCTTTGACAAACTGTTAGAACTGGGTCCTATCTGTAAGTCTTTGCTGCTACTTTCTAAAATTGCAGATACCAGTTAAAGCCAAGCTGAGTCATTTCCAGGGCACTGTGCAGCATCAGTGTCCAAATTCAATAAGGCTACTTATAAATGAGACCTTCAGTTACAGTTTTCTTTCTAATATTAGGTCAAGCAGCAAGCTTGCGTTCTCAAACTGTTATAATGTACAGAGGACGTTGCCTCAATGGTTTCTGGGTGGGGAATATTTTGGAACACTAAAAAATTAGAGTAAGTGCTTCAGTTTGTAACATTTTTCTTCAAGGGCTTTTACCTGCAAGTGCATCTAGAGCAATGGTCAAGAACATGGAAAAGCTGAATTCTAATTACCCTGTGCACCAAGTGTTTTGCTTCTGTTTGGTTCTAATGGCTATGAGAAGCAGGGAAATATGCACCAAAAATCCACGTATACCCTCCTTAATCCTCCCTCTTCCTTCCCCAATTTCTTTCTCAAGATAATAGAACATGTGCCAGGCTGTTTATAGTGATCGAGTCATGTACTCTACGTAAGTGTTTCTGTGCTATAGTTTGTTGTGCCAAAAGCACACACTTGCTGCCCCATGAAAATGCAACAGAAGCCCACTGTATCTATTCAAGTGTGCATTTAGAGCAGGAAATTTATAAACAAGTGGAAGCACCCCCATAGAAACACAGCTAGATTTGATGTTCTGTTAATTCACGTGGGGCCTAAAACACTTGGGTCTTTTGTGGTGGTGACTTGCTCTGTGAGGTTTCCTGCCCTCCAGCTCAAGGCCCACAGGCTCAGTTTCTCCCAACCCTCCTTTCTACAAAGGTTTCTAGCAGTCTGCTTAGCAGCTAGAAATTTACTGTTCAGGGGATTTCTATAGACTTGGCCTAATAAAATAGCAACACCTATACTTCTAGGTATAGCAGCTAATCATGTGTGTTTCACCCATTGCTTTCAATGATTTCCTCCTTGAGCAGCAGAGACGAGCAGAAAGATTGCACACTACTCAAATCATAATCACTGCTCATGCTAGTTTTTCTGTGTGCAGGTGAATTTTTCTTCTAAATATACATCTATGAAATAAAGGCATTGTTTGAAACCAAGTATGTTTAAAAATACATAATCAGTTGAACTTTGAACATGTTTTCAAATAAACCTAAGTCATGGATATTATGAATAACATTTTATTAGCTTTTTCCAGATATTCATGCAAAAATAAAATGTAGTTCACAAGAATGCACATTCCAGCCTGAACTTGATGCCCAATTGGATTTGAATTGATATACCTCTGTATGTGGAAATATCCATCAGAATTATTTCATGACCAGTGTAAAGATGTTATGTGGGCTTCAGTCATCAACTTATAGACCGGAATTCTTACCATTTCCATTAATAGAGGTGATCTGTAGCAGAGTGTGAATATTAAATTACAGAGGACACATAAGAGGCTTAAACACTTAAATATTTCTGCAGAAATCATTCAGTGACTAATCAAAACTGAACCTTTCAGTCCTTGCTCTTGCGTGTCTCAGTCCTTGAAATAAATAGCTTGCTGCACATAGTTCAAAAGCATGAACATGCACATATATCAATACACAAAAAATACTGTTTAAAAGCATGTGGTTTTGACTCATGAGTTAGAAGTGGGGAGCACAGCTAAATCCCTAGCTCCTCCTGCCAGCATAGATAGTTTTAATGCTATAGAAAGGATAACTACACCTCTAGATACATATTTTTAAAGTGCATTTTATAATGGTTCTTAAATCAAAATTGTTTAATATTTTATGTTGCTTAATATTAATAACATAAACCTAGACATGAAAGAACTCTATTACTGTAGAAGTGTGGAGGAAGAATAATATGTTATGTGTACATCTTTATGTATTAACAGAAATCCAGATGGTAGAAACATTTAATCTCTTAATTCAATTTTAAGTTGGGAAAATAATAACAAGAAAAATCTCTCAGGCACTTGGCTCATGCAAATGAATGGGGGTTTTTAATCTGCCCTTTAATTTATTTCCCATTCAATTGCTTTTTTTTATTTTTAGGTAATAAGGAAAATATCTGGATGCATATTGATGCAGCCTATGCTGGGAGTGCATTCATCTGCCCTGAATTCAGGCATCTTTTAAACGGAGTGGAGGTAATAAAGTGTTTCTTCACTAGCAGCCTGCTAAAATCTTGCTCTTCCATAGAATTTGTGAGTTTCTTATGCATCCCACATTAATGGCTCTTCTAGAATCTTTGAGTGCACTGCACTTCAGTTTGCATTACAAATCATTGTATGTTCAATTAAATTGCTTATGTTTATGTAATTTTTGCTGCTTTGTTCTTGGGATTATGATAGTTACCACTGTATGTCATTCAGAATAGCAAGTAGTAGTGAAACAAAGTGTTTTACAAAATAGAAAAGAGGAACTTTCCCAAAATATCCAAAAGGGCACATTTATAACGTTACACAAAAAGAAAGAAAAAAGAAAGAATACGTCTGATCTTTAGCTTATATCCTGAAAGTCACAGCCAGTAGCTGTATCTCAAACAGCCAGGGTTTAATAACCAAGACAGCTAAATGAAATATTTCCCCAACAGCACTCCTGTTCCTTTCTGCCCCCCCTTGCTGATCTACTTGGCATTCAGTTGCTTAGATAAGAATACTTCAATTTCCTGCTGCTTCCCTCAGACAGTCAGATAAGTTCTTGTCTTCCACGTCAGTGGAGAAAATATTGCTGTTTGGTAAAGCCAGAAGTTTAAACACAGCACTGATAGGTAGTGACTAATGAAGAAGAGGAGGGAAAACCCCCTCACAAATAAAGCATTTCTTTCTGCCTCTTCTTTTATCAGCAAATGAAGCTTGTTGCAATTTCCTGTGGGGGAATATTTTTTAAATTATTGTTATTGGTTCCTGAAGAAAATGAAACCGCATCCCTTGTCTGGGACAGCATTTGTTGTAAGAGTAAATATTTAACAACTAGGAACAGGTTTTGTACCTTACACAGTGCAGGGAGATAGCTAGATAGATGCATGGATAGACAGAGAGACAGACAATCTTATCTTATTAGAGCAATCATTAATTGTTTACAAAAGACAGGGAAGGTTATGAGAAGCAAATGAGAAAAGTGCTATATGGAGTAGTCAGACACTGGTGCTGCTAGGCCCCCATCCCTTTTTTAAGGCAGATGGTTTCTGCCTTTGTTAAAATGCAAAACACCAACAAAGCTTTTCCTACAGGATGACCATCTTACCTATGTGGGTTTCCTCTGAAGTTATGCTTAAACATACATCAAGTAAAACACGCCTGTTACATGATGTACAAAATGCTCATTCTGTGTCGGTTTTTCTTTTGACTTAGATAAAAATGACTTCTACTAAAAGAAAATACCCTGGCAGTAAAAAAAAAAAAATAAAAAAAATAAATGTAATTTCCTGTTCGGTTGTAATTTTATGAATGAATGTGATAGGGGATTCTGAACTAAATATATTATTTATCTTTATATATGAATTTTGTGTGTATGTGTTTAATATTATTGGAAATAGAAAGCTTAGTGAAATGTTCTTGAAAATTGAGATATGAACCACAGTGGGTGTTACTGAATATGCAGATTTTTTTTTAGTTTACACTGATCCATATGCTTTTCCATAATATATGTATCTGTAAAGTTTAATTGTTAGCAAATGCTCAAAATGTTGGTAATGCCAGTAGCCTAGCTGCCCACCTAACCTGAATTCCATCCCCCAAATAAATGAATGTTTAGCTACAACAGTTAGTAAGTCAGGTGACACATCAGTGGGAATATTAGCTATAAAGACCGAATCCAGGAATTCATTCATGGATAAGGCGTACTCAGACAATTTGGCAGTTGCATCATTAGCACATGAATCCTTTTCTCTTTCATAATTCTTTTTTATTTATCCATTCTCAGTTTGCAGATTCATTTAATTTTAATCCTCATAAATGGCTCCTAGTGAATTTTGATTGCTCTGCTATGTGGTAAGTATTACAGTAAAGAGGAAACGATTGATTGATTGATTGATTGATTGATTGATGGCTTGGCTTTGCTAGTGAAGATTTGGGAAGAGCTTTAACCACACTTACTACAAGGGACAAAAGTCACATGTTCAATTAGTCTGCCTTTCTAGCAGTAGACCTTTATTTATATTTCTCTATTGAATGAGGAATTCTGGGTAGCTTTGACTCTTGTAAATTATTTACAAAATTTACTCTTTTAATATAAGTTTCAAAAAAGTAAAATTTTGAAATATGCCTGAGCTCTGCATTGTGTTCCCAAGAGAAATCCTGAAAAGTCTGCAGGTTCATACTTGCTCCATTTTGGGACTGTTTAAAACATACATGAAAAAACATCATTTAAGGATGTTAATGCAATGAACAGCGTGCTAAACAGAGCTTTTTCTTATTTTCAATAAAATTTATTTTTGTTTGAGCCTTGATTCTCTCAAATGCCTTTTTAAATGCTTTGGATTTTGCACTGAATTTCAATTTCCCCAGATGACAGCAGAGACAACATTTTGGTATAAAAAGATGCTAAAATAGAAACCCATGGGCATACTTTGAAAAAAAGCAAAGGATTGTTTAACAGTAATAATAGCAGTAACAAAAGCATTTCATGGAAGATGATTTTGTTGTGTCCCAATCTGGAACTCCAGAACCTAGTGTCTACCAGTATAATGGCTAGTGATACTTATTAGCAAAACAGCTATTCAGTAAATGTGGACTATTTATCAAAATAAATGAGAATATTAATTTCAGTTATAATAGAAAAAATGCAAAAAGAAGGAAAACCTGATCATTAGAAAGAAGACTAAAACATCATCTATAAGAAGGTCACCTTGTTTAAAAGAATAAATGTGAGACAGTGATCACTCAGTTGCCTTTGGTTCACCTTTGGCTCTTTTAATATCCTTTTAATATCTTTTTAATGTCTTTTAATATCTTTAAATATCAGCAAAGTTGACTTATCCACAGGTATGCGGATTATTCAGATAAGACATTACATTTTCTACCTTAGTCTTTTTCCTGACATCGGCGCTTCAAATATTCCAGGACATTATGTTGGGTTTCTTTTTTTTTTTTTCCTTAGAGCAAATGGCTTCTATTTTGATGCTGAGTCATCATCAGTGGCAGTGATTAATCCAGACTCCAGTTTATAAGTACCCCATAATTAGCTGGTTTTTTTCTGTGTATGGAAAATGAAACTCCATTGCTAGTTTGCTCCCTCCTTTTTCACATCACTCAATGACATTGTCAACTAAGTAGCCACTCAGAAATCAGGTGCTACACCATCATTCTGTGTAGTCTGTAGAACAGTCTGGGGCCAGAGTCTATTCCCTACCAGTTTAATTTCTCATTAATTCTGTTTTCCCGAAAACCCTGTGGAACTATGTTAAAAGTGTTTTACCTCACTTTCCAGAAAAACAACATATATACAATCACACTGTCTGTCAGTTTATGTTCCTGTCTCAGGCAATTTTAGTGTCTTCCTAGAACAGCTTACACTTTAGACTTTTGTCATTTAGTGTGGCTGTGTGTTCACATAATTATTACTTTGTAATATATTTATAGGCCTAATATAATGTTGTTACAGTCTTTCCCTTTTTTATTTCTGGTTTCTTCTTCTGCCTCTGCAAACTCTTAACGTTTGTGGAGGTGAGTCAGTCTTACACATAGAGTGAAGCATAAACCAGGAAACTCTTGTTACTACCTCCTGGCAAAACATAGCTGATTCTGTCCAAAAGGGACACACTGGCCTATGAACCTCAGTATAGTCACACCATGCACTAGCTGGCAATCGTAAGGTATGCTTCTCAGTTTTACATTGTGCTGTAGTATGTTTGTCAGTTATTGTACACTGGATCCAGCTAAGGGCAGGGTGGTACAAGAGGGAAGCCTGAGTCTGGATCTGATGGCTCATCCCTACCAGTTTCTTCCACTGCAGCATGAAGAGACAAGGGCCAGCACCCATAAAGCCTCACCACGGCTGTGCAAGGTGTCTAGGAAGCCACAGCTCTTCCCACACAGCTTTGTACTGCAGTAATTTCAAGGCAACTTCTGTTGACTGCAAACAGTAGCATTGCTTCAGCTAGTCTCACATTCTGGTGTGAGTGTCTATCACCATAAAAAGATCCTCTGTGTCTGTTTCTTGTCTGTTTTTAAATATGCAATCATGCAGTCATGCTGCCCGTTCCTGCTGAGCCTTACACTTAACTACTTGTAAGTACAGTACTGATATGGCTGTGAAAAAGCACTGAAAATGGCACAGGCTGTGCTCAGGAAATGCGCCAGTTTAAACACATTCAGTTTGCCTTCGCTTCTTGTGGAAATTTAATCCCTTCAATTTTAATTCTTAGATTTCTCAATTTGATGCCTTTCTTTTTTTATGCAGGGTGAAGAAAAGATCAGACTTAACAGGCGCCTTTAAATTAGAGCCTCTGTACCTGCAGCATCACCATCAAGAGTCTGGTAACTTTATAATTAAGTGAGATTGTTATTATTTTGTTTGCAGATTGATATTTAATGGAAAGAAGGACTCAAGATGAAAACTGAAATTCTTAAGACTACCTACGTTGTTTAGGAGCCTATTTCCATCTTCAGAGTGTCCCAGGGAGTTAAGCTTGTTAAAGTGCAAACACATGTCTGGTGAGATTTTAGTTAGCATAAAAAGCAATTGAGGGAAAGCCGTTTTATAAAGCATTATATTAATACTTTTGTATTAGCATTTCCCAGCTCCAGACTCTCTACTGACTCTTTGTAGGAGTGTTGACAAATTTATTAATGATCTTTTGGCAGTCAGATAAACATATTATTGGATGCTGTGTGTTGAGTCCCTTCACCTGCCTTCCCCAACATACCTTTCTTCAGAACCGTTTCAAGATCTGATTTGGTTTTAAAGTTTCTGTAGTCTACAACTTTTTTTCTTAGCTATGAGCTTGCAAGCTCTGATGCAGTTCCAAAACCCCATGTCAAGAGCAAACATACCCTGAAACCGCAGGCAAGGGGTGAACTGTGCTTAATATCTGTGCTCTATTTTGAGTGATATTATCCTATTGCTCTCCTGTTCTTTGATTGTAGAGGAGGCAGTAAATGCAGGCTACCTATCTTGTAGAAAATGCTCGTGAAAGCTTGTCACAAAAGGCTTACAAAGAACCTACAAATCTTAGGCCCTGTACAAAGCTTCTTAATGAATTAGTGCTGCTCCTTGCATATACCTAGCAACTGCAGACTGGAATTTGCCATCCTGATGCCCATTTTTACACATTCAGTTATTAATAGATTAATTGTGAAGAAGGTCCAGCAGTGCAGTGTCAACCTACGGTGCGAGTTCCCTCACAACTTTCTCAAGAGGGTAAATCACATGCAGATGTTCCTACCATTTACTCTATCTGATTTTTTTTACTGGAATTGCTGGTGCTGATCTGTGTTCAGAAGCGTATCCTGAGTACTTCTATCTTCTCTCTGTTACGTCTATGAATTTACTGACATTTAAGTAAAACCATCCAGAATTCCACCATTCATTAAAAAGCCCTAGGAAAAATGGATTCCTGTACCTTAATCCTGAAATGGCAGAAATTTTCCATTTTCTTCTTTTTCTACATTTGCAAGCAATGCAAATATAGAGCAGTGCAATAAACAGGAAAATGCAGTAACTCTGGAGCTGAGCTTCACTCTCCAAAGGCTAGAATTGTTAAGAAAAGATTTTATACTTTTTTCTTTTTTAAATGAAAAATACAAATTATGGAAAATACACTGAAGTCACCAGCTTTTACTTAACATACCTGAAAAACACTTCAGGAGAAAAACTCCAGCCTTAACTAAATTGAAAATATGTTCCTGTGATGACAGTGCTGCTACAAGAACCATGGTTCTTCCAGATGTTAAATAACACTAGAAGGAAGTCAAACCTCTCTTAAAACTAGGTGCTGTCAGTGAGGCCACCTTTCAGTTGATGTGAAAACTTTATCTGCTCAGTTGGTTAAAAAGTTGCTCAGCCTTTGTCTTGCCTGCAGAAGCTGTGATAGCATGTAATGTGATCTGGTCATAATGATTTCGAAGAGATCAACTGATTACTAGCAGTCTAGTGGCACTAAATCTTTCTATGCTCTATTCCCATTTGATATTTCCAAAGACCTGGACAACACTTTTCAAATGCAAATGCCCATAGTTAAGCTGTTAAACCCAATACACAGCTATGCCTTCAATAAATTTAGTCAAATTTGCAAAGGTTCTAGGCTGTTACAGTCCCTGTTGATCCCTATGGGATTTATGACATATCAGCATAAGAAAATGTGACTTGTCTAGTGGGGGGTCTTATTTTTTGAGTATGTCTGAGGTCTGAGAAGTCCTATAATGGTTTACAAGGCAAATGAAGTAGCATTTTTGAATTTGCTCATCTCTCACTCAAGAATTTAAATGAGCGGAAAAATATCTCTATCTGTGAGCAATTACTCTTAATAACCATATGGCAATTATGTGTGCCCCCAAGGAGAAAGTCTTTATTTTGTCATTAATTATAATTTTATGTGATTTGCATCATCACACCAGGAAGATTGTACTAGCTTGCCTGGCAACTCAGGATATAGGTCAAATCCTAATGGCAGTGTTGGAAGAATGCAGCTTTATACTCTATTGTGAAAGCCATGTATGCTCCCACAATGCTACTCCTCCTGGTTAAATACAGATGTAAGACCAAGGCTTGTAATCAAGGACTAATCATTGATTGCATTCTGCTTCACAGCTTGTGAAAGGCGTTGTTGTGGATCATTAGACATAGCCCCTTTCAGGAGCGTAGGATTATTTATCTGTCACCAGTTGCTTTACTCTCTTTGCTGCCAGTCTTGCAGCTATCAAACAAAAATGGCTGCAACAATGCAGAAGAATATGAATGTTATTAAATTACCTCAATACCAAGCTGAGACAACCATGTTCATTTTGTGAAGTCCAGGAATAGGTTAATGATTGTTGGTTGTTGTGTGTGGTTTTTTTATCTGGCAAATAACCTAGTAATAGGTTAAAGAACCAAATGTCTTTACATTGCAGGGAGGAAACACCCTGTTTTTTCACATGTTTTGGCTGTGTAGATGAGAAAACATGTACAAGAGAACTTGTAACACAGGGAATACAGTCTTTTTCTAACTCCTAGAAAATATAAAGGCTGAGAATTATGCAAATGACATAGACTGGACAACTTCAGAAGCTATAGTTCTATATAGAACCTCGTGGTTCATTATTCCATGAGCACTTTGACAGCACTTTCCCAGGGAATTTAAGCAAATACTTTTATATGAGGCTTATACTCCACTGCAGAATAATAAAGCAGAGTAAGAAAGCTAAGCAGATGCTTCTACATTTTCCTAAAGAAGTGCTTTAAATTTTATGTCAGTTTAATTTCTGTCACTGTCTTACTACAAGTAATTCAGTTTTATGTTACAATTTACTGTGAAATCAGTTTAATTACCTTATTCAAGGAAAAGGTAGATGCAACTTCTCTCTGTGTGCTTCCATAGAAGATAACTAATAATGCCCTCTACTTGCCTCGCTGGACTGCTCTGTGCCTTGGTCAATCACTACATCAAATGAGAAGCCAAAAAAAAATTGCAGACTATTATTCTCCAAACAGGACGAGATCAATTCCGAGTCAGATTTTCCAGTCACTTGTTAGACATGCTGAAGCATTAGCAACAAATATGAGTTGAAAAGGCAGTTAGAAATGGATTATTTTAAGAAGAGTTAACAGTTCACTAGAGTAAAGGTGGTGACATTTCACACCAGAAAATGAGTGATGAAGTGAGTTTGGGGATTCTGCAAACTGTTTAAAACACAATCAGTAATAGCTGGTTCTTTTGGTACTTCTTTTGCTTATAACAAGAAAACACAGTCCGTCTCTCCCTAGTATCTGTGGTATAACAGAAAGAAAAATTGAGTTTCTTCTCTCATTAACTGTTTAATTTGCTAATGGTATATCCTAACATGCTAAGGAACGAAGCTTATTACAAGCACCTTCATTCAGCATGCAGCCAATTATCCTACTAGTTATTGTGGTCCTATTGACCCTGATGATGCTGAAGTTTGTAGCAAACATAAAGGATAGCTAAGATACAGCTGTTTCAAAAACATTAGAATGAATGCTGGCTTTGTGTGTTTTGATGAAGCAATGTGAACATTTTTCCTTTACTTTCCAGGCCTTATAACAGATTATCGGGTAAGTACAGCATCAATGTAATAACTAAAGCTATTACTTGTATATACTGCTATTTTCAGGACTTCTATTTCCCATTACTATCATAAACCCTATTCACTATCAAAACCTTATGTTTATTTCCAGAAAGGACGCAGCTTGCTAAATTTTAATGTTCCTCAGACTGAAACTTTAAACCTTATTTTTGAAATCTGTTTGAAGGCAGAAAACGCCTTGCATGTACAATATCTCGATGTTTAAGCAGCAGGAAGAAAGGACCTAAAATGTTGTGGCTTTTGCTTAAAATGGTGAATAATGCATTTAAAAAAAATGCATGTGTTTCAGTCTTTCCCCAGTAGAAACACAGTTGCTTTGAAACGGAAGATGGGCCTGTCATTGTAGATGATAGCCACACAACTGTAAACAAGCCACTGTACACAAGCTTCCAAGATAGGTATTTTTCTAAAGCTTTTGAGGAGAACTCAAGATGGACAAAGGAAATTCGATTTCCATTTTGACCCTTCAGTTCTGACACCAACCTCCTTTTCCAATTTTAGTCTTAAAATTTTGAGTATTAAACAGTAAGCCCAGGGCATTAACCAGGAATAGACATTTCTACAATTATTTGACCTACCTCTACCAACTGCCTGTAAGATATGGAAATGTATTACGCTTCAAAATTGTTGTAGAATGTACAGTTCCTGCAGTATCACTGCAGTGGTGACTTGTAATGTGGGTGCCCTCCCTTCTCCCTGGCTTGCAGCACTGGCAAATCCCCTTGGGCAGAAGGTTCCGCTCGCTGAAGCTCTGGTTCGTGCTGAGGATGTATGGGATCACAGGACTGCAGGAGCACATCCGCAAGGTGACTGGAATTTGATTTCTTTGGTAAACTGTGGTGGGATGGCAAGGGAAAAAGAAGCAGGCTACCTACCTAATTTCCATGACTTATGGACACATCAGAAAGTACAGGAAACTGCTTTCAGCCAGCTCAGATTATCAGGGTGCTGCTCGCTTGCCCCATGTAGTGTTACAATTTCATGTCATGGTGGGCTCAAAACTCATCCATTTTGTATGAAAATTTAGGGAAGACAAGTATAGGAGTTTGGAGTTTCTGTAATGTGGGACCATAGTTCCCTCTCAAGTTAAGCCAGAACACATCCATAATTCTATTGTTTAAAAACATGTTTATTCATTATGACTTTATTTTATAAATGTGCATGCCATGCATTGATAGCATGTTTAGATTATGACTAAGGGATACAGTAACTTATCGGGCAAGTCTACCTCTGCTCCTTCTTTGTTTCCTGTTTAAAATACTTCTTCTTAGGAATAGAAAAAAAAAAAAAAAGAAAAAAGAACACGTACAATTTACAGTTTGTTAAGATTGCTGTAAGTACTAAGTTTATTCTTGATGTAAAAAGAAGGGGGTTTTTATCAATAAACCCCACATCTGGCGCCAGTCTAAATTACACATATGTTTCCTCTGCAGCAGTAAAGTAAAATTCAAGCATACCTTTCATCTTTATGAAGTTTAGGGAAACTTGTAGTGACGGGGGATCCATGATGTGGCTCTAAATATTTACAAAAATATCCATTAGTTAAGGGTCTGGTCTAGTATAGCAAACTTCCTGCAGACACACATTCCTTTCTATTGTGGTACTAAATAGATTAATTCCTCAGAAAGGCTTTTTCCACTGTTGTAAAATCACTGCATGAGAAAGCCTCTTTAAATTTGGAAAGGTTTTGGAGTGGAGGAACCTCTTCACTTCTCATTCTTATTACACTGTAATTTTCAGCTGACTCGACACATATCAAAATTAGGTTTTTATCCTTAATGAGGCTTTCAGAAATCAATTTTGACAACAGCGGTGATCTTGATGTTCTGTCATCCTTGTGGCAATCTGATATATACCCATCTGATGAAAAATTGATGCAAGGCTTGTCAGCACTTCACTAGGCTACCATTACAGTTTCTAGTGTGATTCTCTCTCAGGTTAGATTTCTGGAGACTGCAATTATTTCAACATGATGCCAAGTCTTTAAGAAGGGCTTAATCTCTCACTGGGAGAATAGAGGTTGGAACCCTCATATCAATTACATGGTCTTTTATCAGGCTGGTTTCCACAGGTCAGTATTTACATTCAGAAAGTTCCCTCTTTCCCTGTCTCCCAGACATTTCCCTGACTGTCCAGCCAAAGAGTGCTTGTTTCCTTAGAATGATAGCTGAAGACCAGGTTTTTGTATGTTCTGTGACAACACAGTCCAGGAAGGCAAAGCAAATCCATCTTTTTCTGAAGTAAAACCCTAATATGTTCCTTTATTTGTAACAGTAACTCAGGTAGGTTTCCAAGGGCTTGTTGAATTAACTGCATATGCTTAATATTTCATTAAGGACTAAACCGTTCCCTGGTATACAGAGAAAAGTAAGTTATGACCTTATGTTTGCAACTTTGAAAGGGCAAGAGGGGTAATTAAGTGCATAATTTGGCTCACTGTATGCAACTGTCAAAATGGAACCACTAAGTTAGTTTCTCCTCACCACCCTCCTCTCTCCCCAGATTAATATTCATTCATTTCAGTGGGTTCCAGAGCACTTTTTCTCTTTTCTTAAACAAAGTAACTTCTATCTCTAGCAATTCTCTGTTTAAGCTAAATTTCAAGGAATGCTTGCAGTTTGTTTGCTCCCTGCTCTAGCAGAATTTAAGATCTCTTGGGAGTTCACAGGCATGTTGGTAAAGTTCTATCAGTAGCTGCAAAATAACAATTATAAGTAAATGTGTTTCACATCTTGCACATTTTCCTCTCTTCTCAGGAATTGTTGTGGGTTCCAGTTATATTGTGATGACTTTTCTTTTGGCGGTGTGGTAATGAAGTATGTGAACTAGCCTGATGCTGGTTTATATCTTCAAATCTATAGACAAGTTTCAAAATGAAAAGTAATTTGGAATTTAACTTCACTTGTTAACTGAACTTTATCATTGCTTATCCCAGTGCTTGGCCTTGGAAAGTTGCTTTCTTTGAAATATGCTCTAGCATCTTGCAAGTAACAGCTTTTATATTCCCATTGTGGGCAAAGGCAGCCCTGAAAAGAATAGCTGGTATTGTATCTTGTGTACTTGTGTAGCTGTGTTTTAAGGGAAACCATGTAGTTGTCAGAATTATTTCTAAAGCTGCATTTTCTTACAGTGGGTGATGGAGTGGCCATAGGTAGGATAAGAGACCTAGGAACAGTGGCAGAAGCAGGTATTGCAACCTTCAAGTAGGCTGGAGATGGGAAGTGGGAAGAATTGCTCTCTCTGTTGTGTTATTAAGGGGAAGGGGCTGCCTACATCTGGGGTGGAGCATGCAGTCATACACCACGCAGGTTTCATACATCAACATACCTGTATGTGAGACATGTTGTTTCTGTCCACACTATACAACAGTAACTAAGGCATGAGACATGTTGTTTCTGTCCACACTATACAACAGTAACTAAGGCATGCCTGTTCAGATACAGGCCTGGCCCTTACTGAGAGATTTGGGACCTAGGGTTTCAGTTCTGTTCTGCGTTTATGAAATTCCCCAAAAAGACACTTCTGCTCCTAAGTCCTAGAAAACTGTAGGAAGATTTATCCAGTGTTTATGGTCTTCTTTTGTGGTGCCAGGTGTCACTTGCAAAGTGATTTGAGATTTTCAATAGTGATAAGTTTCTAACATGACATAGAGGGGAAAAATACTGCATAAGCTTCAGAAGCCAGCCTATTTGCTGTGTGATAAACAAGATTCTATATGGAGGACCAAAGATATCTGCAACTGTCTCTTCACAAACTTTTTTTCTGGATGTAAACTGCCACAAACCCCCTATTTGCCTCTCTTTGCTTAAATTTTAGTTTTTACTAGGGTGTTTGAAGAAAAAGATGTTTGTTGTTTTTGCAGCCTTATGGTCTCCCTCAAAATGATGTGATAACCACTGCAACCTGGCATTTGCTTGTACTGAGGAAGGCAATTGGGAACTAAAATACTCCTGGGAGATGAGAATGTGTGACTTGGATTTAGATACAGTTACTTTTTTTATTTTCCAAACCTTCCAGTTATGCACTCTTTTCCCACACAACTTACTGCAAAGTATAGGTCTTAAAGCAGTGGTAAAGGAGAGGAGGACAGTCATCTCTGAAGGATGTGGGGAGACAAAAATACAAAATGTGTAGGTAAGACAGAGGAGATGTACAGAGAGGGCAAACCCAACAACAACAGTCTTCTGGACTAATTCCAGATACCCAGAGTCAGTATAAATGAGAAACCCAAATGGCCCATTTGCAAACTGCTTGACCAGCCATTATTCCATTGTTGCTTTAACTCTTCTCAAAGAGCTCATAAGTCATTTGAGAAATTTAGAAGATTTGTATGTGATCCCCATGAATATTCCAGCTCAGATGAATCCTCCATAGGATCAGAAGAAATCAGTTCACTGTGTCCTTCTTTCTTTGCTGAGGATAATGGATTCCATTAAAAATTAACAGCAGAGACCAAGAAACTGCAGAACAGCAATGAAGTGTTTCAGCTGGGGACTGGCACAGTCCAAGTGGCTGTTGAGAAGACTCTCGTGACAGCATTTTCCTTCAGAGTGTAGTGGGATGCAAGTGAAGGCAGGCAGAGGTTAAAATCTATAGGAGGAAAAGAATTAAAATACCAAGGCTAGGCAGGTACGCTTATTTGCACAGTCATATTAATACACTCTGACACTTCAGGGAAGCTCAATCAAAAACTATTTTAGCTCTTGAAGGCTTTGCCTAAAAATCAAGATTCATTTTATACAGTGTATAATGTAGAATGCAGAAGCAGTTATAGTTATATACACACATATCAATACACAGATTTATTTTTTAATTGGAACTACACCTTAATGCCTCACAAGTTTACTGCTCCTATTAGTGATTATGTAAGACACTTCCCTTAATCCTGAATAACCGAATGACTTAGATCCCTTTCTTGTTTCCCTTCTCACTGCAGAAAAGCTATGATTTTCTACCTGAGATAGTGATACACAAAAATTCCATACAAGTTTCTTTTGTTCAGTCTGCTAAATGTCACTGTGAAAAAAAGGGCTGGTATTCTGTTCCTATATACCAAGACTTTTGAGGCCATTAAAGAAGTCCTTGTGATTACACTTTGGGAACTCACAGGGTAAAAAGGTTGTCTTGCTAGAAACAGTAGTGAGTTGGTTTGTGATGGCAGGTGTGGTATTTCAGAGCCCCTCTTACAGAGTTTGAGCTTCCAGGCTTAACAATGTTTATTGGGTTTAATTATTTTTTCCTTGCAGCAGTCTCTGCAAAAGCAATTCAGAATAACAGGTGATGGGTCAAAGGTGCAGGGCCTTCAGTAGTTAAGCAAAGTTTGCCCAGGGAAGTGGTGGAGTCAGCATTCCTGGAAGTATTTGAAAGACACATAGACGTGGCACTCAGGGTCATGGTTTAGTGGTGGGCTTGGCAGTGTTACCTTAACGGTTGAGGCTGACGATCTTAAGGGTCATTTCCAACCTTCTATGAGTGAAACAGGTGAAACTTCAGTTGTTATCTCCACTTTCTCGCCTTCCAGTTCCGTAAAATCTAAAAGACTTGGTGCCCTCCAGTGGCTTTACAAATTATTGCTACATGTTCAAGGATAAATTACTTGCATCAAGACGTGACTCCACAATACTTGCAGAATTTTTTATCTGTGTTTTACTGAATACTGTCCATTTTTCTTTGCTGTTATTTCTTTAAAATTTCTTAAAAATTCTTTGGTGCAAAAAGTGGGCATAGATACCTGCTATAAAATATACAGCATGGGTCTGGAGTTTTCTTTTACAAACTACTTGCAGTAAGCCAAATCTTCAATTTTTGTTTTATTCCATTGCTACCCAGGTGAATTTTGGTTAAATTCAGTTTGTGATTACATTCAGATGAACAGCTGTGAAATTCTCATCTCGTTAAACATGAGGGATTTTATGTCTTTGATTTCCAAGGCGTAGTGTATGCAGTGTGAAAATTTGCAGAGCTGTGTAACAGACATCAGTTTGGTTAAGGCTATAGAACATGAGGATAGGAGGAGACAGTAAAAGATCATTGCAACACATATGCATATTTCACATACTTTTCCATGCACATATGCATACAAGCATCTGTATGTATACAGATATTTCTGGTCACTTTTCACAGCTGTAAACTCATGCTGTTTATATTAGCAGAACATTCAAATGCCTTGGAAATGATTGGGCATTTTACTGGTCTCAATCCTGACTCGAAGAGCTTTCAGTCTAATTTTAGAGGGAGATGATAAATGGATGTAACAAATAGCAGGGAGGAAGTGGTAACAACAGTAAGACTCTCTGGTTGCGTAGGATACCAGTATCCCCAGTATACGATTTTGAAGCAATGTTTTGATTCAATATAAACAATGCTTTTCTATTTTAAGAGGTAAGCAAGTATCACAATGCTATGATTAAGACTGCAAAATATGTTTGGGTTTTGTCCTTTCTTCCTTTCTCTCTCTCTCTTTTATTCTCTTTCTCTCTTTTTCTCTTTCTCACTTTCTCGCTTTCTTTCTTTCTTTTCTGTAGGTTCTGTTTTTGCCTTATTCTTGCCTTTTTGCAAAAAGTTCCTGTGAGCTGAAACATTCCACATCTAACCCTGGCCCAAAGTGAAATATTTAATTTTTTGTTGGATAAGTGTCCTTGAACTTAAAAAAAAAGGCAAAGTGCAAAAGCAAGAAAAGACATGGGCTTAGTTGTTTATTTTTCCAAAATTATTTGCTCTCATAAATGTATAAAAGATAAGGAACTTTAAAACATCATTGTAGGTGTTGCTGATAATTTTTGGTGTAGGCTGGCATGAAGACAAACTGTAATTATAACAGCTTTGCTGTTGTCTTATTATTTTTTTTTTTTTTTTTGTTAGAGCAGAGAGCTGATAGAGTAGTGAGCAAACTGAGCTTTTGGAGTAGTGAGTAAACTGATGACAGCAGAGAGAGGGGGACTGGGTAAGGTACTGCAGGTATCTGATGAGGACAGGGTTGGGTTTTTTTTCCTAAGTGCTTTTGTATTATTTTTCTGTTTGGAAGAAAGTAAAACGTGGTATGAGAATGCAAGCATCACTGACTCAGTGTTAAGACTTCCCAGTTGGTTGTTACTATGCCTGTTGGTATTTTTTCCTATTTGTTTGATTTTGGAAAAGCACCAGTTTCTTGTGCTTCAAAATAATGGCTCTGGCTTCATGGCCAATGTCACTCTTTTTTACCCAGTAATTGTAAACAGATTGGCTGAGATTTGCTATCTATTTTCTTGCTTATGCTGCCATCACCTTTCTTTTCAACTGAACCTGAGCACCGAGGCCAGAAGAGCGAGCAAGTTCTCCCCTTCTTCACAGTTATTCTCATATTAAGTAGACTATTTAGAAAATGTCTCTTTCCTGCTCATTTTGCACTGGAATTTTGATAATTTTCTCTGCATGTCTGTATAGATCTCCCTTTCCCCATAATAACTTTTGGACTCTTTAGATATTCCCAGCTAAAACTAACAGTGGTAGAAAACCTAAAGAAGAATTATTACAATTATTTGCTATTAATATGGTATCATATAAAACTGTGCCAAAATGTTTCATTAAGAAACGGACTAGTACTGCCTAAGATAGACTGAGCTACTAATATAGTAATGACTCAATCTGGTCTTTGGAAGTCATAAATGGGACATAAGTTAACATAAACAGATGGCAATATGTGAATATTATCATATATGAGAAGAATTAAGAGAGAAAAGAGATTAGGGAAGGGAACAATTTAGCACATCTTTTTTCTTGATGAATCAGATTTCTACAATGTAGATACTGTCTTTCTCTTCTCAGCATGTCAGGCTGTCGCATCAGTTTGAACATTTAGTCCGTCAGGATGAAAGATTTGAGATCTGTGCTGAAGTTATCTTGGGACTAGTCTGTTTTCGGCTGAAGGTAAGAAAGCTGAGACCTACTTCTTCTGTCATGTTTTACAGCAGTAACCAAAGTAACATCAATTGAACATAATCTTTGTAGTTAATGTACTTTATGATTTTTTAAAGAAAATGAAGGAAGTTTGTGTAGGTCAAAACACATTAAAGAAAGAAGCTTAAGACAATTTTCTTAAAAATTACTCAAATGCTTAAGAGAAATTCAAGCATATTAACGTATGGAAGTACACAGTCAAGGCAAACAAATGGGCTACCCAGTCATACAAAATGGCCATTATGTTCTATGCTTGATGGGCTTTGGTGAAGAGGATTGTTTTAAGGTATTTCCCAAGACATTTGGATATGATGTGTGAGTGTATGTGTGTGTATTATATTTTCTTGTCAAGTTAATTTTATAGGTGTGTATATTTGATGTCCTTTAAAAAATAATAAAAATTATATATATATATAAAATTACTATCATGGATGAAGATCAGAGTAGTAAACCTTGTTTTAATTTTTAAAGGATACATTTTCGTTTATAAAATCTTACAGTCAGACTGGCAAATTAGCGCCAGATACAAGTAAGAGCAGGTTGCATGGGAACCAGCTTCCCAACTGCTCTTGGCCTTGGTCTGCTTATTTTTTTTTCTGTGCTGAACATGATCCTTTTGCCCTTTTCAGCCTTTCATTCCCCAAAATCTCTGTAAGAGCCAAGTTCATTGATGTAGAGACCTTACCCAACCAAAACCTGAAAACTCACTCTGCACTCAGAGCATAAGAGCTGCAGTAGCTGGGAGAGCTCACTTGTTCAATCAGACATTAAAAAGCGATCAGTATCTTATTTTAGGTAAAGAACACATTTAATAGAGGAGCTTGCAACTAAAGCCTCTATAAATGACTGGATTGTGACACTGAATCTGAACACTAAGCAACAGTAATAACAGCACTGGTGTTTTCCAGTTCACATGATACCTAAATGAGCTTTTTGCTTCTCTGAAGGCTCACAAGCACATCTTGGTTCCTTCTGGCCAGTGTGGTATTACTACTTTTCACCAATTCTTTTCTCAGTCGTTCAGTTGCCACAGTTACCTGAATGTGATGCAGCTGCCTGAAGGGGCCAACAGATCTTTAATAATAAGGTAATGGTGAATTCATCTGGAATAGGAAAATGGTTTTGTCTGAATTTATGTTGTTTAAAATAAAAAGAAAAGAAACCAAACACCTGTTGCTAGAGAATCAGAGAGATTACAGAACATGGAGGCTTCCCAGTACGAGGAAGCATGAATATAATTTCTTTCCTAACAGGAACTTTTAAAAGATTTTGAGGAATAGGTTCTGAGGCTTTTATTGCTCAATAACAAGATGTTGGTTGTAGTCTGCTCTCTCACATGGAACAGCAAACACTAATTTTGCAGATCCAGAGACAGCTGTTAGTTCAGTGCTCTGCATTTACTTTAAAGGACCAGTCCTGGTGAAATAGAGCATAGCAACAAGGAATTGTCACTTCTGATCAGACCAGTAGTTCATCTCCATCTGCCATCCTGTCCCTGATGATCCAGAGGAAGAAATCAGACATAGAGGGAAAAACAATTTTACAATAGGAGATAAATATTGGGGACCTAGCTAAGAAACTTTTGGACAAGTTTCTGCTGACAACCAATTGCTTGCTATACCAGTCCAAAAAGAAAAAAAAAAAAAAAAACCAGGAAAACAAACCAGGAAGCTCTTAAATGAAGTTATCACTATTTTTTGCAGCTTTATTTGCTCTCTAAATCGCTCTTTAAAAAATGTTCCTGTGATTTCTGTATTTCATATTAAAATGCGTCTTCATCTAGAAGTAGGATACTTGTAACTTTAATTACAGGAGGGCTAAGAACGGTAATACTGCACAGCTGTAAAAGTATGAAATGTTTTTCCTTCCTTTGTTCTTGAGAAACCTTCTTTAATTTTTATTTTTTTGCTTAGCTGTAACTGTTAATTTTTTGCCTTTTGCACTGTTGCACAGATGCACTAATAATCCGACTTTACAACCATTTCAACAAATGTATCACACCAAAGGGTTAATTTTTGGCCTCCTTATCAAGTCTGCAGATGAATGCAAGTCAAGCTAGTCATTACTCCAAGGGAGTGAGAATACTGTCTTATTGAAGCTGACAGACTCAATCAGAGCTGGCTTCTCAAAGCTCTGGGAGAGGATTAGTCACTACTAACTTCAATCTGACATGACAGATGAGTGTCAGAGCAGCCCCTAGGTGCAGCTGTGAGAGTAGAACAGAAGAAAGATATATAAATCTTTCTCCTGTCTCCCCTCACCCCTGCCAAAGGCACGAACTTAATATCATATATCTGCCTGTGTTGCCTAAAAGTTAGTGCTGCACATTTTATATTAAAGGCAAAGACCATAATTTTAATGATGAATACCTTTGGTAAGAAAACAGGATATCATTGTCACCAGTGACATACCCATAATGGGTGGGGACCTGCAAAACACCAAAGTTGATCCTTTTCTTACTTAGGAACATTCCAGTTGCATGAAGAAGATTAAGGTGAAGCTATGAATTTCAGGCTCTCATCCAAATCCCTGACAACTTGTGCTAAGGCAGAACAAGGTTTTGACTTGGGTTCAGCTCTAATATGATCCAAAACCGTCAGAATAATACATTTATCCTCAGTGCCAAAGGAAAGCTGTGTCTGCCTTATGCTTTGGTTTTATATGGAAAAGGCTAAGCAGGCAAGTCATAACTGCATAGATTTGAGATAACATGTTTTCTGATACAGATACTTTCAAGATGACCTGTGCTGCTACAGGAACAAAAGTGCTGCTGAAGAGGTGTATTTGTCCAATTGTTACCCTTTTACTGCAGTCAGTGTTCAGTAAGGGAACTCTGCGGTAAAAGCACAGGTGCTCCTAGCATCTCCTGCAATTCTGTGTTACCAGCAATGTAATGAAAGAGTAAAGGCTGTATAACAGCTGAGATACTTCCCCAAATAATAAAATTATAGCATTCAAGATCAACATGGTATATCTTAAGCTATTACAGTAATAATAGCTCTTGCCCAGCAAAGCTGAAGCCGTCTCTTAGTTTGCTATATGGAAGTTAGACAGATGGGTTCCTTTATTTTGGGTAACAAAGTGTCAAAGATATGCAGCTAGCACTTCATCCTGTGTTGCTGAATCAGACAAAAATCCCAAGATTTTTGAGATCCCTTCTTCCATTGTTTTCATTTAAAGTGATTTACCACTGGTTTTGAAAAATCTGATGACATCTTTAGTTTTATTCTCAAATGCTGACGGACATGAACTGGGAAAACCACTGACTCAACATTAGCTGAACTGCAAAAAAGCCAGCACTCCTCAGTACAATCCTATTTCTTTTGAGATTTGATATTAAAAGCATACAGCTGCTCTAAAATAAATCCCCACGTTCACTATTTTAGCACAAGGAGAATGAAGTACACTAGAAGGAGATAAAATCCAATACCGCCTGCAGAGTCCCTCTGACCTTCTGCAAGATATTTAACATTTGTATCTTTGTTTCCTGGAATGCAAAAGACTTTACTTCCAGTGGGAGGGTCACTTTACCACATATCTAGAATCTCCTGCCCCTCAAAACCTTCTCTCTGTAGGTCTCTGTGGCGGACACTTCCTATAGAACTTGAGGCAAATACTTAGGATTTCAACTGATAGTATGAAACTTACTTATACCAGGGATACATTCCTGTAACTATTTCTTAATTAAGGGTAGGATTTCAATCTTCATATTCAAAAAATTCTCTCAAAGCATCCATACTTAATTGAGGACTGGAGGGTTTGCTTTATGAATGGTAGTAGAGCTTACTGCAAAACTTCCTCCCATGTTTGATCAGATGTAAGAAAAGTGTAATGAAATAATGTAATAATGAATGCTTTTACATAAAGGTACAGAGCTCATGATCTTAGTTCACAAAAGAGCAATCAGCTATCACAAATGCCCCAGTGTGAACACTGCTTCTAAACCCCAGTTAATCCATAAATCTCTTGTGACTGAAAAAACATCTCTTGCTCTGTCATCTTTTTGTAATCCTTTGATAGCAAAGCACTGAGAGATGAGAAAGTGGCTGCGCGTTACTGGTGGTACTTGGGTTTGGCTGGTTGGCGGGATTTACATATTCCAAGCTTGCTTCTGAAATTCATCACCGTATCCACCTAATTACAATGATTTCAGGGCTCAAATGAACTAAATGAGGCGCTTCTTAAAAGCATAAATGAGGCCAAGAAGATTCATCTGGTCCCGTGCCACCTGCGAGAGAAGTTTGTGCTACGTTTTGCTGTTTGTTCACGCACGGTGGAATCCACCCACATCAAGTTTGCCTGGCAGCACATCTCACAGCTGGCAACCGATCTTCTGAAACACGGGAGCAAAAACACCACCAGCAGAAACAGCAGCGAAGTAGCAGTGGGGAGGAGGTAATTAGCTGGCTTTCTCTGTGTGGCCAAGTTTTATTTTAGGGGCAGGTGGGAAAGTCAGGATATGAAGGGGAAAAAAAAAGAAACCAAAGCCTGTTGTTATATAGCCCAGCTGCAGTAGCAAAATCCTTGCCAGCAAGTTGTGTTGTAACCTTAATCATTCCTTCTCTGTAGTGTGGTTTCATCTTGCCTGTTTCCAGGGTGCAGATAGCCATGGAGGCTCGAGCTGTCATTTCCTACCAGTTTGTAATCAGAAGCATTTATTGAACCAGGCAGTGGAAATGGGTTAGTGCTCCCTCTGTTGTCCCCATTAACCTTTAGCACATCCACTTCTTGCTTCACAGATGAAACTGTGAGGTGTCATCAATTCATTTAACATTGCTATGACTTCAGAAAGAATCCAAGTTGGGGGCAATTCAGTAACCCGGATCTAACACTGTTCAGGTCCAATTTAAAGAGGCTTGTGCAAAAGCTGTTGTCTTGATTTGGGGCACTGTCATGTCATGGCATGATGTTTGCTGCAGTACTTTTGTAAATAAAGTTTGTACTTCAAAACTTTCTGCAGTACACAGCCAAATCAACGGAGGGTGAGTACTAAATAAGCACTAACTGTCCTTATGGCAGGGTGCCTGCTTTCTCCTAAAGGGTTTGCTTTTAAAACAGGCATTTTGTCAAATCTGGCAGCTGGTTTTCACTCTGATCATTCATAATAAGACCTCCTAAAAGCTCCTTCCAAAGAGTTTTGTCAAAAGCCATGTGCTACCTGGTATTCTGTATTTTTAATGACATTATTATAAGCAGCGATTATTTGAAAATAATTAATCTGTGTTCTGTGAAATAGAGTGGTGATTTCTTCTTATGGCTACCATTCTGCTTACATCATCACATAATAAATCTTTGACAAAATATGCTAAGAAATGCAATGAAAAAAAAGTGGTTCTCTTTGTTTCTCAATTTAGGTAACAAACAAGATAGCAAATTACAATAAAAATAGACATTAAGAGAACCAACCCTAAAAATATGGTGTGGTGTCCCCTCAGTGGTTTTCTTCCGTTAACAGTGATGCATGGAATATGAAAATATTGGAAAACAACCTTCAGAGAAAGTAAAATAATGTGTACTTGACACCAACCATTGCTATGTCATACTGTTGAAGGCAGGTACAGTAAAGAGGTGAAATGAAAGTCATAAACCATATCTGACTTTAATAAGTATTTCTGTCATTTTGAAAACGTGAATTCCAGGCAGTTATTTCTGTCTAAGATCAAAATAAATAGCTACTCCAAGAAAAGGAATCTGCAGGATTCATTTCTACATTTGCATTTGCCTTAATCTTTTCCTTTTATTGTTCATATTAACTTCTAAAGCATCTTGAATGACTTGCACAATTACTCAGCTTTCTTCCTCTGTCCCTTGCAAATGTAATTCCTACATATGGGAAGCTGCAAGTAGACCATGAAACATGCACCAAGGCAGTTAATTTGGCACACAGTCTGCTTAAACCCACTGTCTTTCCAGAAGGGATTATGGAAGTTGATTATGGATCTGGTGACTCCTAATCACCCCACTTCTGCTGTGCAAAGTGGGGAAGGATTAGTGTTAACATATGTGCAAGTGGTATGTGAGAAACGTGCATGAATTCTGACAGTAAAGAAAAGCAGACCAACTTCTGCACTTCCAAAAGGTCAGGCTGTGTGCCCAGGGTAGATAGTGACATGCCATCCTTCTGTAGGGCTTTCCAGAGCCTGCATTATCCACCCAGATGGAAAAGCTGGTTACTATTTCTTTAAGGAATTGCTTTCACAGGTAACAGATGAAGCAAGGGATGACAAATGGATCTGGCAAAAGCCTGTAATATTTGAGCAGGTGACTGAGCCATTCCACCAGGCACTGCTCCCAGCTACAGGATCAGAAATTCTGATGGCATCATTCTCATTAGCAGAATCAATATGAAATTAAGCTTTTCTGTAGTGGCACAATGGAATAGATTGGTAGACTGAAAACAGCAGAAAAATGCTGGCAGTTGTTTCCTTTCTCTGTTATCAGGTTTTTTTAAAACAACATTATTCAGTTCTCCTGACTTGGGAAATAATGTTCATCCGTAGCCCATATGGTCCACACTGGTACAATTTTACAGCTTTTACACTATGACAACACTAGAATCTAGGAGCCAGAAAAGAATTACATCTTTGTTATGAGACAGACCTGTGTTTTGTATGTGAAATATCTAACCAGGTCTGTCCACGAACATAAGAGATCAGATTCTGATCAAAGCTATCATAGAGTAAATCCAGGATAATTCCATTTAAATTAAATGGAGCTGCTTTGGGCTTACATGCCAATAATTGAAATTAAAATTCTAACTAATAAGTATTGGAAAAGAAATGCATAAGGTAAGGCAAAACTAGCTGAACACAAGAGGATTTTGGTGGAAACCCTCTCCATGGAAACTAAAGCAGAGGTGGATGATGCACGCTTATGTGAGCCTCAGACTGCTGTAGAACCAGGATGCAGGCAGGATCCACATCCAAACCCAGGAGGGGATAAATGTTCCCAACAGCCCAGACCTTCCCTCTAGACCTTTGTGGGAAAATGTTGCCAAAACCTGACATTCAATTAAACATTTTTCAGATTACTGGCATCAGTTTTAGAAGAGGCAGTTGTCTAGAGACCAGAACTTCTGGCAAAGAATTTAGGATAAGGGTTAATTTAAAATATTATAAATGCAGTAAATGATATTCTATTTTTGTTTTTAAGGAAGCATTGAAAGTAAATCTTCCAAGAAACTGCAGTGACAAGACTTTCCTCATGGCCAGCCCAGTACAGAAATCTGAAGTTCACAGTTCTAGTTTTTCTGAGGTGATTTGAATATGTAATTGGTGAAGGGCTTCTTAGGATTGAATCTCACATGCCCTCTTTTCCCCACCTGGCAATTCATTTGCAGACTATAAATGTTACATCATCTGAGAATGAAATCTGGTCCATGTTATCAACTCCAGAACAAAAGTGTAGAAAGAACATTCTGAAAGAACTGCTGTTCTGTTCTGTAGCTTTGCAACATACCTGTGAGTGAGAAGTACTGTATTTATGAACAGTTAATATGTGAACCTGGATTTATTGTGCCTTGTGCAAAAGCTAATGCTGTCTGTGCTGATTAATACTGTTTGATGTTAAAAATAACTAGTAAATCTCAGAGCTGTGCTTTAGTAGAATATCCACATCTCAAGGGAGAGAGTGCGGCTGCTTGAGAAGGGTGGGGGGGAAGTTACTCCTCAGTAAACGTATGTTTGGGGTTTTTTCAAACTAGTAGGGTGCTAGTACCATATTTACATTCTTAGTAATAACAAAAAATTATATTTTATTACTGATGGTGAGATATTGAAAAGATGTATTTATGAAAATGTTGCTAATATATTATACTCTGAAATGCATTACAATTGCTTAATTTCTAATATTCTCTTGCCTTTACATATAAGATTCTGCTCATGGTTGTTGTTTTGTTGATGTCTCCTCTAAGGATACCATATTTATGAGCGGTACTTACATTGCACTTGCCTTACAACAGCAGCCTAAACCTTGAGATGTGTGAACTTGAATTGCTCAAAGACGGGAGCAAATGAGAAATGAAACTGAAGAACCTTGAAGACCAGGGTAGTGGAGGCAGTTTAAATAACCATTGGTGGCCAAAATCTACACAGCATATGTACAGTCTGTATGACCCAAATGGGAAAATACATCAGATGTTTAGTGCTTTTTTAGTATAATTTGTTGAGTTCCTTTAAAATCTGTATCCAGGGCCTACTTGAATGGACATATAGATTTTAATTTGCAGCATTAATAAATGGAAAAAAAAAAAATGACACCTATTGTCTGTCCTTGTTCTTTCTCATTTTATTCATGCCATACGCACTGTGAGGGGTCCAACTTCCTTGGTGAGTGGGGGGAAATCAGTGCCTTGATTGTCACCATCCGTGCTTTTTTCTCATTGTCTCAGTGCCTGGCCAAACCAGAATCCTGCAGCTGGATGTGCCACTAGAGCCAGTTGTCCAGCTTTGGCTTTAGTTTCCAGTCTAGGCATCACCAGGTAGGACAAGGCAGCAGCCCATTCCACTAGCCCTTCCTACCCATAACCTGTGTTCCTTAGGGCAGCTGAGCTGTGGCCTCCTTCCCTCCCTGCCTCTGCACAGGCCAAGGGAAATTGGGTGAGCACACTTTGGTAGAAGTGGGATGGCAGCAGTGTTACCAACTACAGACGTTAGCACAATTTGGTCTCAGATGACAGCTTGCTAGTAATGCACACAGTTTAAAATGCTTTTGCACTAATGGTATTACAAGCTTGACGTAAAACTAAAACCTGACAGTAACAAAAGAAATGTTTCTCATGGGAAATTAAGTGTTCACCTACACAGAAGCGACTGTGTTAATACCAGAGGTGTAACTGCAGCGTAGCATAACAATTTGCATCAAGATTGGTGGGCTAGTTTGAACTTGGGCTGGTGTGATCCAGATAGAGACTCCATGATGTGGCTCGGTTCATAGGACATATTCACCTGAGCCACCATCTTCTGGCTTGTTAGGCATCCTGTTACTCGTCTCATTACTCTGCCAGAGCCCTGCTACTGCTGCAGAGCCTTTTAGCAGAGCTGTTCTCCAGTAAAGGCCTGTTCAGCAGCTGCTATTTCTGAGGGTGTTGGACATCATTAGCCTCCAACGCTGCCATGGTGGCTGCAGTACCCTGCAGCGTGTGACACAACAGGTGGAACAGGTGGCTGTGGAGCTCTGGTGCTGTGTGCGCTGAGGTGTGGGTGCCCGCTGATAGCACCTGAACCACCAGCTGAGCTCCAGCTTGTGTCTGGACTCACGGCATGAGGAGCTTGCTCCCGTGGAGCTCATCCTGCACAGAGGGTGGTCGCTGAGGGTAGAGCCTGGCACTCTGCTGGCCCGGCCTCCCCCAGACTGAGCCAAAGGCACCCAGAGGCCCTTCTACTGAGAGAAGAGCGGGCAGCAGGCACGAAGGTGTGTTCACGTGAGGTAGCTGCCAGCTATGTGGGGCAGCCATTAAATTCAGCACTGAAGGAGCCAGTAGCACTCCTGCTCCTGCGGTCACTGCATGTGTGACCCAGCCTTTACCAAAAAAGCTTTTCCGAAGCCTGCGCTGGTCCTGTGGGAGTGCGGGCACCCTTCCGGGCAGACAACCGGAACCGAGGAACCGTGACTGGCTCAGCCCGCGGCGTGACGAGCGCACAGAGGGGCTGACCGCCGCCGAGGTCGGCTGAGGGACCCGCGCGCGCAGCGGGAGGGGGCGGGTCCGACCCGCCTCCCAAGGCACGGATCCCGCGTCTATTGGAGGGCGTACGCCTTGGGCGCAGCCAATAGGGAGTGGGAGAGCCCGCGCACCGCCCCCTCGCTCTCCATCCCCTCCCATAGCTCCGGAAAGCCCGAGCGGAAGACGTAGGAGCGCCAAGCCGTTCCCCGCTCTTCTACTTGTCCCCCCTTCTGATCACTGATTGGCTGCACCTCACAGAGCCCTTTTATCCGATTGGTGTGTGGGAGCGGGGCGGGGCTTGGGGTAGCGCGGGCGCGGGATCTGCAGAGGTGGCTGGTGGGTGTGTGCATGGCGCGGGCCGTGTGTGTGTGAGCGGGTGTGTGAGGGGGTGTGTGTGAGTGTCACTGCAGGACCCTGTCGGCCCCCGTCCTCTGTGACTGCCCTGCTTTCTTCTCCCCCCGCCTCTGCTGCAGGCGCCGGACCCCGGCCCGGACGCGGTTGGCAATAGCCGGCGTGAGGGGCCTCGCTGCGCGCCCGCAGCTCAGCCCACCCGGGCAGAACGCTGAGCCCCGGCGATCCAGAGGTGAGGGGTCCCTTGGCCCAGGTGCGGCAGAGCGGAGGCCCCTGGGAGCCCTCAGGGATCTGGTGTCTGCTGCTCCCCCCTTCCGGTGTGGCGGGGGTTTGACCTGATGGAAACTGCGGGTGAGGAGGGCTCTTGCGGTAGCGGGTTCCTGGCCGCTGGGCGGCGTCTGG